CAAAATGCGTAATTAATTTCACATAGAGACATGAATCGATTAAGGTACGATATGTTTATATATATTTTTTTAACTATTTAGCAAATATACGAATAAATTGATATAAGTACGTTTTAATAGTAACGAAAGTTTCGTAAAACGATCGAGGTTTAAATAGTAAGTCATGTAAGTAAGTATCAAGTATCATGTGTTTCTTTTTGTACACTTTCGAAAAGAAGTCGGTCTTCCCCTACACGGCAAAATGCCTATTGGCGTCAGAATGATCAATAAGGAGTTTCACTTTTACGAAATTCTCCCTTTAAAAGTTCCCATGAGGTTCTTTAGGTAAAAGAAAAGAAAAGGATACAATAGGAAAGGCGAAAGGGAACTAAATTTTAAAAGGCTTTAAAAAACAACAAAACTTAAAGTGTATAAACCGCCCTTTTTTTAGTTTATATTTAAAGTTTTTAAAAATATAGTTTATTATCTCTGAAAATTGATTAAAACCAATTCGGTTGGATAAATTTTCCAATATTAGTTGAAATTAGGATTTGAAAAGGTCTAATTAATAATTAATTACTGCATCTTGAAGCATATTTTAAAAAATACCTAACCATATTTTTGTAAAATTTTTAAGAACACCAAAGTGGTTCTGGTGGCAGAGAAAACTCAACGGTAAACTAAGAATTTAATGACTGATTGACTAAAATAACTTAACGAAGATGGATTTTTTCTCAAGCAACACTACGAATTCTACTTAAAACTTTGAAAGCATTTAATTTTGAAGATTTCCAGACTGAGTTTGTTCAAATGACCATTTCTTAATATTCCCTCAAGCTGATCCTGAAAATACTCCGGGGATATGTATTTTGGTTATGTTCGTAAAAAGAACACTACTATGGGTGAAGAAGAATTTTCAACATTTAGTTAACTGAAAATTTGCGAATAATTGATCGAAACTACAACGACGATATTGGCATTTCTCAAGCAACTTGTTTCAAACTTTTGAAAAAATCCTTTAAAACTTATAGCTAAGTTTTTCTAGTAAAATTATGTTCAAATGGATCATAATTTTGATGTTTTCAATATTCTCCTTGTTTTTCTAAATAACATTCCAAATTAGATTAATGAAAAAACTTAAGTTGCAGAAAGAATGCGTTGACAAGCAGAGAATTTTCGGTTGATCGATCTTTTGAAATCTATTGGATATTTTTTCAAAGCACCAATCAAGATTAAAACATCAAAACAAATTAAACTTTACAGGAAAGTCCGGGTGGCCTGAAAGTGTGTTCAAACGGATTACATATAGGAGAAGATTCTAAAAAAAATTTAATATTCTTAAAATCATCCAAACCAAACAGATTATTGAGGTTTTTGTCAAAATATACAACTATATACTAATAAGGAGGCTACGTGGGACCTCCGATTTTAATTAAATTTTTGTTGGTGATACTATGTTGAAACATATAAGACACGATGTCCGAGAATAGTCTTGTCAATGGGTCCAGGGAGTCAATTACTTAAATAAAATAATTTAAATAATTTTTAATAGGATTTTCTGTATCGATTTGTATTTACCGAGGAATAAAAGCATATATATACTAAAAGGTAGGAAAATCAAAATACGTTTCTAGTAAAATAGGCCAAAAACATATTTTTAAATATTTCAATTTGTTTTAAGCACTGTTTAAAGCCTTTAACTGCTAATTTTTATGCTAGCAATAAACTAGAAAATTTTCGGCTGGGAAGTTTTTCTTTTTTTTCTTGTATTCCGGATATAAAAATTCATAACTCCTATGGATTTTATCCTAACTTAACGTTATTAAAACATTGTGTTTTAGTAGTCTAATTGACCAAATTACTTATTTCAATTAATTATTCTTTTTATGTAAGGTAGGTTATTAAAACAGTTGGAAAGCTTGACTTTAATTTTCAGATTTTCTCAACAACGTTTAGATTTTATGGCGGTATAAGTGAGAAAAATAAGGATACAATTAACAACAAATTTCAAACGTTTCATTTTATACCTTCGTGTCTACATTACACAGATCCTGATGTGCTACTACGTGTAGTTTATAGGGTTTTCTAAACCCTGTGAGGTTGTGAGTTTTTGTGAAAGTTTTTTGGTGATTTTATAAAAAAAAAGTAGTTGCTTGAAAGGCAAAAAATTATTTTTATATTTTACCCAAAGAGTGCATTATAGCATTTTTTGGTACGAAAAACGCGTATCAGGTTTTTTTCTTACTAAGAAAATATTTTAACATACTTTACTTCGTCGCAGGGTCAAAAATTATATATTTCAATATCTATAATTTTAGAAACTTATTTTGCTGGAAACTTCGTTTGATTTTGAAACTTTTTATAAATTTCAACTCATTTAATACGATTCTACTTACTATTTCCAAAAGAAAATCGATTGACATACATTAATCTTGAAGTATACGCACAACGAAGACATTTACAAGAAATATATTTTAATGGTTTAATTAGTGACCGTTAGTCGATGGTTATTCGGAAATCGTGAGATGCGGTCTGGTGTGATGTTAAGTTTCAGAAAAACATTTTCTTTATCGTGCCAACGTTTCGATGTTTTTAAATCCCAGGTCCTGAAGATGATCTCAATAAAGATCGAAACGTTGGCAAGATAAAGAAAATGTTTTTCTGAAACCTACATCACACCAGAGCGCATCTTACGATTTCCGAATAATTAATTGTTTAGTTTTTTGTTCCGGCTCCTACTACTTTTGGCAAAAACACCCATATAATATTTTTCAAACTAGTATCACCAAAAAAAGCTTCATTAAAATCGATTATCCCAAGTTCCTTGTAGCCCTTGCCAGTTTTAAGAAAAATGTCTTTGGTTAACTAAGACTTTTGCAATGATCGTCTAAACCGACTTAAAGACGATATTGACTATTTTCGCAACCAGCTTAATTAAAAATTGAAGTATTTAAAACCTAATAAAGGGCAATAATTTGAAAGACAATTAAAACAGTTCCTTCGTTTTTAAGTTTAACGATTTTACGATACAGAGTTAATGGGTAGTCTCATTCAACTATGAACTCACAAATTCTCTAGGTTTGAAACCATAAGTTTCAGTTTTGTAAGTAACCCACAAACCCAGTAGAGACATGTTGCTTCTGCTGACGATATGGCTTTATGGGCTTTAAGATATTAGGAGATAATATTTCTCCGCTATTGGCCAATTTGGCAATTTGACCTTACGTAAGGTCAGGTTTTTTTAATTATAAAAATCTAGCAATGACTTTACCTTTTTTACAGATCCATTAGATATTCATATTTGATACTTAGTAGATGTTCATGCTTAGTAAATATTTATATTTCAATTATTGATAATAGTTTCGAAGACCTGAGAACGGAATATATTAATAGAGGGAGGGAGGGAGGNGAATGACAGAGAGACAGAGATAGAGAGAGAAACAGAACGACAGAGGAACAGAGAGAGAGAGAGAGAGAGGAGAGAGGGAGACAAAGAGATAGAGAGAGAAAAAGAAACAGAATGACAGAGAGACCAAGGAACAGAATGACATACAGAGAGAGAGAGAGATAGAGAGAGAACAAAATGACAGAGAGACAGAGAGAGAGAGAGAGAGAGAGAGAGAGAGAACAAAATGACAGAGAGACAAAGAGATAGAGAGTGTGAGCGTGGGAGAGAGAGATAATTGTGTAAATACTATTTTTTTTATCTAATTCTCCTTTGTTATTTTGATTTATTGTGGTCGCGTGCTTTTGCTTGTGGTCGTGTGGCTTTGTTTGTTACTGCGTGCGCCCGTGCGTTTGTATATTTTTGTTTGTGGGTGTTGTCTGTAGGTGTATATTCATTGATTTATAACAAGTAAATAAATAAAGATGGCTCATCTTAACATAAATCAGAATTAAACCGATCAATTAAAATTTATTGAACTACTTTTTTATTGATTACTAGGTGGGGGGAGAAAATGAATAATTTAAAAAATCAACGTAAATATACGATTAAAATGTATGTACATATAAAGAGTTTTTCTGGAGCTTTCAGTATCTTCTATTGGGGCGATTTTCCCCAATTTTTTTTTCTTTTTTGATCCTTCATTATAAAAAGAAAATTATATATTATAAGCGATTGGAAAATATTGTCAGTAACAACACATTTCCAAAAAGTGTCAACGAATGAGTTTTATTCGTTTTAGAAGAGCTAAACAAAGCAAATTTAAGTAGCAACAATAGCAAACTCAAAAAAGCCTAAATATTTCTTGAAAATATAAATTAATTTTGGTATAGTGTTTATTACCGTTTAAAAATACGTTTTATCTTAATATTATGATGACTGCCGATCAGTTTAAAAATGAGGGATGTATGACGGACTGGCGATTATCTTGACTGAATCCGCAATTGTTAAGCTGTTTCCTTTGGAGTCAACTTACAATTTGAAAGGAAAAGGTACTTAAGCCGCTGGAGCGCAATTATATTTTCTTCCGTCCACCTTCCTCAAAGCGATGGCAATTACTTAAAAGACCTATGGCCCGACGCTTGATCCCGACCTAAGTATAACAGGACTCGACCTTTCAAGTATCACGAATTCCATTTTCAAAACCGGTTTCGAAAATGGAAGGCAACTGGGAGATAAAGATGCGGGTGCAACCGCAGATACCCCTGGCCTCTTCGGGTATTCACCACTGCTATTTTCTAGACGGACCTCCTGGTTCTTCAGTTCCGTGACATTTCAGCGTCCTTGGTTTAAAAAGATTTATAGGATACGCAGGAGGGCTTCAGGGCCTATGGAACGGCTCACAAAACTGTAGAAACCATTATGCGAAACCCTTTGTGAGTAGAAGAAAAAAAAACGAGATGTAGGACCATTGTTTGCCTAAATGGACCATACAGTGAAAAAAGATTTCGTAATTTCTCTTCTGACAGGTGTATTGTCCGTTCATCTTCCGGTTCTTTAGCAAAATTGAATACCCTTTTTAAAATTTAATCAAAAATACAAAAAAAATTGCAAAAATTTCAAAGTAATATAATACCTGATAATAGTATTTCCAAAATGCGTAATCCTGCAGGTAATCCTTGTCAGCGAGGACCCATCGCGAAATCACACACTTTGTCGAGTCCTGGGTTGAGGAATGTTGCACTTTTTTGATTGTCAAGCAGAATTTTTGACAATCGCAAAATCCCCAAATTTATAAACCTCTGATGTTCACGAGGGCCAGCGAAAGACTGTGAGACATCTATAGTGTTGGACATCACGGAGGTTGGATTTGTACGGGTGGGGGTCTCCTGAGTCCCCTCTACCTTCTATAGAAATTGTACTGTTTCTCCCGTAGGCTGTGGACTGTGGTACCGTACCATTATCTTCTTCTTGCTCTAGCTGGCATTCACTTTTCTAATCTTGCCTCTCTGATACAATCATAATTTTGTTATAACATGCCAAATATGGAAACACACCAGCTAGCAGTGTTTTAAAAAACATAGATAAAATACTTGAAGCTAGTAGTTCCAGAACCCGTCTCTAAAATTTTAAGCTGACATGATAAAAAAAGAACAATCGCCTATTCAATTAAGCTAAAAACTCTGGTAGTACGATACAATACCCGAGCACGAAAACAGGCAAAAAACTGTAAAAAAAAGTCTTGCCTAAACTTACTGCAGACCTGCTACTAGAAAACTACAAAAACATACGATCATTGCAGGTCTATTATGAAAAATGAATGAATGCCCCAACACATACAGTTCATGATGATTGATGATTAATGATCATATAAAGCAGATATACAAATTAAACAACAAATCAAATGACACACATACACATATATATTATAACATCGAAACCTTGCCAACAACTTTGATTTGTACAGCTCGTTGATCCTTATATTTCTATCATCATCATCATAATCTTTATTGTAAGTCTATTTTTAAAACTTTAATATATTAAAAGTTGTATGATTTCTACACGGTGATGAACCTGTAATTTTGTTGTTACCGATTACTGGTCTACCTAACCTCTACAGATGCTGAAAATGGCAAAATGTCGAAAAGCATCTAACAAGAACCCAGCAAGGATAGGCAGATTAAAATGATTGGTAATCGCTAAATTACATGTATTGAAAGTAGTAGAAGCCTATGTGCTAACTGCTAATAAGAAGATACCACAGTATACATTGTACGTCATTGTGAAGACCTAATAAGAAAAAGGTTCTGACTCATGGCTAAAGAAAAACCCAATCCAATAAATACTACTAGCTACTATCAAGGCTGTAGAAGCAAATAAAAGGAACTGATCAGCACTTATTACTCTACTGGGTCTGTCTACTCTTATGTGTTTAGACCCAGTAGAGTAACTTCAATCAGTTCATGTGTTCATTGATCCACACCAAAAACCACCTCCAAAATAACCCACCTTCAAGAAACAGTATTTAAAAAATTTACAATAAAAATAATCCTTAATGGAAAAATAACTTTTTCTAAAATTTACGTTTATATAAGATTTTTGAAATAATTGGTGAATTGGAGGTGCTGAAATAAAATATCTGAGAGTAGTTTAAAAAATGAATAAAATACTAATATTCCCTACTATTGATTGATACGAACTCAGACACAAGAAAGAAGAATATATATTATTTCCCTAAAAGTCTTCTAATCTAAAACGGATAACTATAAAACTAATAAAAGTCAAATAATGCATTTTTATATCGTACACAATATATACTGTGTCTTAATATAAAATGTGAGATTTTTTTTAAGCCTACAAGGAGAAAAACCTGTAGTTTGGTTTGCTACCATCATCCTGGTATCATCATTAACTCAAAACTTAAGATAGCCAACTGCCAAAATACTCAGGGATAAACCATCAAGGATTGGCAGACCTTTTGATCCGAGACGAGCCTACTATACAAAACAATCAACCTTTTAATCATAATTTAATAGGCTTGGGCCAAAGCCCGCATATATATAATACATGTACAGAAAGGTTGATCGATGCTAATTAAATTAAAGGGTGCCTAATAATTAAAGGGTACCATTTCTTGGCTCCATATAGAGAGCGTGTATGATTGCCATCCAATATGAGAATTGGGCTTGAGCATAGCAGAGACTACTTGGGTCCCTATTATGAATTTTAGAGGAAACAGTCCAGTTTTACCACATTTAGTGCTTTATAGATATCTCATTTTGTGTTTCTTTATATTGAGACTGAATGCATTTATTTGCGTGAATATTGAGTATTCCATCGACCCAAAATTAGATTAGATATATAACATGTGTAACAAGTATGTAAAAACTAAAGAATTATTTAGGAGTGAGTGAGTGAGAGTGTTAACAGGTTTGGATTTGGAGAATGATTGCATTGGTGGCTGATATGACCTAACTAGAGCCAAACCTCGGTGGTTGGATAAATAAAACTGAGGTCTGACCCCGGTCTGCCAACACCAGAGGTTGGTGATTCTAAGGCCTGCTGATGATTTATTAAAATTACACAAAAACCGGAACTGCGAGAAATGTTAGGCTCAATTCTGTGTGTATGTATGTATATGCATGTGAAGATTTGGGCTTGCACAAATCAGTAAATAAATTAAAATATTATTTTGTTTGAAATTTTATTGTAGTGACCTCTTGATCCCACAAAACTGATTTCTTTTTGTTATTTTCCTGTACTATTCCTACCATATAATTTTAACATATTCAAAAATTTGTTTTAATAAAACTTAAGACTTTACAAAACCAATCTAGATGCCATGTCAGTGACATTCACCACAAATACAAATTACAAATAGTAAAACTTTATCAAAGTTTTATAATCTTTAATTTTTTGTTTTTATTTTCAAAAACACAATATTATCTAATAGCTTGATAATATTATGTTAATTTAGATCATGTATAATTCATAAAAATAAAGACTTTAAAATAAAAATAAAAATATAAATGTGAATGTGTGTGTAGTACAAGAGCATCAATGGTGGAATATCAAGTATCCCATCAACCCTCAATTAGGCTCATTAGTGTATGTGTAGTTGTTTGTAAGTTGAAAGAGTAATGGAGGAATATTGAGTACTGTCCATCATCCTACTTGAATGAATGGTATATGAATAAAAAATAATGTATTTAAGTGAGAGAGTGTGTTTAGGTTAAAACTGCATGTGCTGGAGCAGAGTTGTTATTCTAAGTTGTAATTTGTCAATTATTTGAACCTAACTTCAACGGGAAAGGATAAGATTAAGAGCTCTGCTTTCAGACTGTCACAAGAGCAGTGGGTGATAACGAGAAGTCAAAAAGACTATTCTGTACATATTTGCATGCATACATTGCAGAATTGATCCTATAAAAAATCAATCAATAAGACATAAAATTGTATTATACATAAAAATGTATGATAGAATAATTCAGAATTATGAAAAGAAGTAATTTTTTTTAATGTTAAAATCTATGAGGTGACTGATCATCTCTTACCATGCTGTCTGTCTATCATACAAACCAAACACTTATGATGGTGAAAGCCAAAACTTAAACAACAAATAACACCACCAAGAAGGGCAAACGAGGATCAAGCTAAGTTGTAATTTATTCAACACTGACCTCAGACAGCAGGAGAAAAACAAAACACTACTTTATCACTTTTTAAATAAAAAAAAAAAAACATATGTTTCTTAGCAAATGAATTGTAATTTTTAATATAAGAAAGTTTGTGCATTGTTTGGTGTTAGAAATATGCTGCATATCATCAGGAGTTTCTCTTCTTCTTCAATTGTTAGAGAATTGATCAGACCACCAGTGCATGTGTTTGGTCTCGATGGCAGCTACGCTACTGCTCTATACTCAGCAGCTACTAAGCTCAATCAGTTGTCTTCCATTGAGAAGGATTTCGATACAATTAAGAATGAGTTGAAGAATGACACAAAGCTGAAAGAGATGATAGAAGACCCGGTAGTCAAGAGTTCAGAAAAGGCCGATGCCATCAAGACCATGGCCACAAAGGTTAATCTGACTACCGCCTCAACCAATCTTCTTGTCGTTCTTGCTGAAAACAACAGACTCCAGCGGCTGGAAGGGGTGGCCTCTGCGTTCTCGACAATAATGGCAGGTGTCAAGGGTCGCCTTATATGCTATGTCACCACGGCAAAACCCTTGGATGAAGAAGACAGGGCTCAGCTGGACAATGTTCTTAAATCATTCGCCAAGAAGGGTGAGGAAATTGTAGTGGAAGTCAAGGTAGATCCTTCCCTCATCGGTGGAATGATAGTCAAAGCTGGCGACAAATACGTCGACATGAGTATTGCCAGTAAGATCAAAAAGTACACAGATATAATTAATAATTCCATCAAACAAGGTTCGCTTGGATCTTTGTCACTGCAACCTGCTGAGACGAAGAGTTCAGATTGTGATGAAGATGACGAGAAAAAATAAAATTCATTTGTTCAACAGAAACAAAGGATTATCAAAGTTGGTTAGCCTTAATATCAATAATCTGACTTTGGTTTGTTATTGCTTAAATAAATATTGTTCAACAAACAGAAAATATCAAACGTTTTTGTTTTTAAGTTAATAATAAACAATCAGTTTTGCTGTAAATGTATCCTATTTTTAACTATGTAATAAAAACAGCTATAGATAACTGAATTCGATTTTAAATAACATATGTAAGAACAAAATAAAATATTTATTTGTAACAAAACAAAAGCTATAGGAAGTTTGAGACTGAGAGTCCATTCTACTTAAGAAGGTGAAAGCCGAAATATATATGACATTATGACATATGTACAAATCACCAACAAACATTGAAGAATCTAAATACTACAAACTTATTTTTTTTTTTTTTTTTAGTCCATAATCTTCAACAAGCCATTCAAACAACTTTAGATAAAAGGGAAGTTAAAAATGTAAAAGTTCTCATATTGACGTGAAGCCGAAATCCGTCTAGTCATGAACAGAGATTGTGAGTAGGCTGGCCTAGAGTTTTATAGTTAACATATGTTAAAAATAGTTCGACTAACCAGCCACAGTTCTTTCAATGAATTTTAATGATTGAATGAAGAAAAAAGGTCGCGATGTTTTATTTAACAGATAAAAACAATTTTTTTTTACTCACCCGACATAATAATAATGAAAAATTAGAAATAGTTTTTATTCGGATTAGTTAGAAAAAGGATAAAACAATCAGCATGAGCGTGGGTTGCAAAATCTCCGGTTGTGAAATTTAAGGATCGTTACTCGGCGCGTTCAATCCAGTTTTATAATTATTTAACGGTTCAGCAATGCATAATAATATTCTGGATAGTTGATCAGTGTTTGTAAATACTTAGAATATTTAACTTTTCACCAAAGATATAATAATCATTACTTAAAAGTGCAAAAAAATTACTGTCGTGTTATCGATTATAGATTGATTTTTTCCTGACTTAATTGATGAACGTTTTAACAGTTTTGCTGCTTTTGAAGTTTTCACCTGCCGTTTTAAAAGTGTTACACGTTTTAAATCAATATTATATTCACGCGTTCAAAACACAAGAGATCGTTATGAGCGTCGGTAAAATGGGGTGTAAAAGGTGGGCGGGAGAAACTGACGAATCTTACACAGAACAATGAATTCTCCGAAAATGGGCCCCAACTCGTATAGAAGGCCGAATTAACATGATTCTATGTTTAATTTACGATATGAAAAGCACAAGAATTTCGTTACCTTGTATTTTAATATTAAGTACACCCACCAGAGAGTAACGTTCTCAAAATCAATCCCGGCCTTTGACAATTGAAGTGTGCGCCGTGTAACATAGGTCCGCTTTGTCGTCGCTACAACCAGAATTGTATATGTTGGAGTTTTGGATCATTCCACACAACTGGGGCCTTCCTCATGACACGCGGTTACTGTTGCCCATGCTCTTGTTGGACAGACACTATGAACCGGTAGTGGTAGTCGGCTCCCAAGAGAAATAAGTCAGGAAAACAATAAAACATATAACAAGACAAAAACGACTAGTTCACAGCTTGTTTTAGTTTTGGATTATTTGATGCAGGAGTTTCAGCAATGAGAACAAAATCCAACCAATTGAATCAGAAAATCAATAGATCATCTCTAAAATCTAACCCTCTGGATAAGCACGTGACGGAAGGAACATCTAACCTTTTTGTAGCCATTTTGCAACAACGCAATCGAAAAAAAATATCTACAACTAATTTCGGTCAATTTTTATACAAACCTAAGTGGTATTTGTATAAAGATATAAATAAAAAATATAACTGATTTCTAACAAATGGAATTATGCTTGTTTTATACGGTTTATCTTACAAAAATTGGACCTGGTGGAGGAAAAAATCGAAAATATGCAGTAATAATTTTCTTTATTGAATAAATTCAAACCCTTGGCAATTAAAAATTAAAAGACAAAGGGTTTATAATAAATAGATAATAATTTGGTATAATCCTTTGATTATACTCTAGCAAAGTAATACTGTTCATGTTGAAAAAGCTCCTAGAATAAAATAATATTTATAGTGTTTACACATTTGATTCATTAAATGTTAATACTTGTCAATATACCAAATTATGCAAGATTTGACGAAGTTCGAGTAATTTTACAAAAGAAAAATAAACAAAAATCAATACTTTACAAATAGAAATGATAAAGGGTGATACTTTACACTGTAAACAGATTAACTAAAGTGTGCGCCGTGTATAGCAAAGGTCCACTTAGTAATCGCAACAGCCAGAATTGTATATGTTGGAACGAGCTTTGGGTCATTCCAGACAACTGGGGCCTTTCTCGTGACACCCTGAGCATGGTTACTGCTGTCTATGCTCTTGTTGGACAGATACTATGAACTGGTAGTGGTAGTCTGGCTCCCAAGAGAAATACATTAGGAAAACAACGAAAAGGGGGACCAAACGGCTAAGAGATTGAACAAAAATCACCAAAAGGAAATGGCAGTGTTAGATAGTTGGATCGGCCCTACGTATCGAAAGAACGGTCGATAGGTGGCCCAGGAGGATCTGAATAAAACAATAGAACAAGGATCATCCTCGTTCGACAACCTACTTTCGGACCAAAATCCTAGTATTTGCCCGAAAAGAAAAGAAAGCTTGATTTTTCCCACATAAATTGAAGGATGTCATTTTTAGCTTCACGTAGAGACCGTGTAGTATCTCGTGTAGTATATCTCCCGATATGAGAATTGTCCTATTTCGGCTCCCTCTTTCGATTTTTAGAGGAAAGGCCAATATGTTGAAAACTTTTCCAGATAATTTGAAAGGGCAGAGCTATTTTTAAAAGTGATAGAAATGATGAAAGTGGGTTGAGTATGTAGATTCACTTATGGTAAATGATGGTTCTACTCACAGATTTACTGTCTATAACTATCCGGATTTCAGCATTAAACGCTCATCATCAAGTTGAAGGAGTTACAAACACGTCTCTCAACATGACTTGTAAGAAATACTGTAAGAAAAAAAAATTAAGTTAGTGATTAATTTGTATATCAAACATTATTTAGATACAAGTTTAAAATAGGAGGTAAATCAAAATCTATTATATTATTTATGCATTTATCTTCATGTTTAACTTTACATTTTTTATTTAAAATTTCTCAAACCAATCTAGTTCCCTCCCTTTGTTGAAACTGGGCAACACTGTTGTATTGAAATTGAAATGTTTTGTGTCATTTAGATGATCCTTAAACTCAGAAAATTTAAGCAAGTGTTCTTGAATTCTCGTTTTAATTTCTCTGCCGCTTTGTCCTAATATTTAATATCGCAAACATTAGAATTAAGTTGGTGAAGCCCGTTTTTTGCCAAGTAGTCATCGTTGCTCTACGTTTTGAGAGGATGTTTCTAAGTGAATACGTATCTCTAAGCTATCTAAAACCTGATTGGCTGAGTCCGATAAATATTTCTTAATATCCATTGCATTTAGCTAAGGTTTTAATAGTTCGTAATTCTTTTTTATAATTAGCAGTTGTTAATGGGAGTTTCCATATATGGCCTATGGGTTAAATGAATCCAGCAGCTTTTTGGATACATGGGTGAGAAGAATCTGCTGGTATCATAGTGTTTTTCGAATTATTTTAATTTTGACTAATTTAACGGTAAATAAATACGACCAAGACATATAATCAGTTGCGTCTTGTTTCTATATGTTAAATTGGACAAAATTACAAATGTATCCTTTGTAGAGCCCTGAAAAAGACATAAACTCAATTCTGTACATATGAGTCAATTGGCCGGTTCTGGTCCAAAGGGTGTGAAAACTGCTCGTGTTTTTGCTAGTTGATCATCCTTGTTGTTAAAGTTCAGCAGCTAGACATCAGTATTATTTGGCTGTCTGATAATATATATAAGTGTGCAACTTTTAATCTCTTTTTAATTATAAGTGAGAAGTATGAGAGTGTGTCTAGATTTAAAAACTTCATGCTTGTTGACATCCTAACTTCGGTGGTGGAACTCCCAGACTCCCAAAACACAAATAAGGCGTGAGAATTCATAAGCTCAATTTTATTGTTGTGCGGAGTTGAGCTTATATCAATCAATCTTATTGAGTGATTCTTGTTATTTTGTAGTGCAAATTACAACGGTCAGGTCCTTGGCGGCGTCTCAGCGAGTCAATTCGTTGTTTTTTCTCTAATTTTTATGTTGCGTAAATCGTTATTTATTTATTGATTCAATTTTGAATATGTAGAATTCTGGACGTCGTGAAATTGTATATTCGTACTGCTGGCGACTGTTCTTGCAGGCTCTGTCTGGAGCTTGAACTTTCGTCTTTATCGGATCGACATTATCCAATCGTCTATAAAAATTGCTTTTGTTTTGTTCCCTCGAACTGTATATAATTCCAAACAAGAAACTAACGATTTGTTTCACGTGATAAGTATTAATATCTATTTGGGAACAATAAACGTTGATACGTCCCCAATGTTTATCAAATGTTATGAGTTATGTACATTTATCACTCTTCTGTTTATACAATTCAAAATAGGAAAGATAAATCCTTTAAGCCATATACACAGAATTAACCTGTTTACAGTGTAAAGTATCATCCTTTATCATTTCTATGCGTGAAGAATTGATTTTGTTTCTTTTTTCTTTTGTAAAATTACTCCAACGTACATTCGTCAAATCTTGCATAATTTAGTATATGAACAAGAATTAACATTTAGTTACGGTACAATGAATCAAATATATAACTCTTGTAGATTCTGTTTAAATATTATTGTTATTATATAATATTATTGTATATTATTGTTTTATACAAGGAGCTTTTGCATCATGAACGGGCTTACTCTGTTGGATTATAATCAAAGGATTATACCATATAATTATTTATTATAAACCCTTTGTCTTTTAATTATTAGTTGCCCAGGGTTTAAATTTATTCATTAAAGAAAATCATTAGTGCATATTTTCGATTTTTTCCCCTCCACCAGGTCCGATTTTTGTAAGACAAATCAAATAAAACAAGCATAATTCCATTTGTTACAAATCAGTCATATTTTTATTTATATCTTTAAACAAATACCACTTAGGTTTGTGCAAAAATTGACCGAAATTAGTTGTAGATATTTTTTTTAGAAAAGAAAACAGCATCTTTCGATTTACTTGTAGCAAAATGGCTACAAAAAGGTTAGATTTTGCTTCTGCCACGTGCTTATCCAGAGGGTTAACTTTTAGATGTGATCTATTGATTTTCTGATTCAACTGGTTGGATTTTGTTCTCATTGCTGAAACTCCTCCGCAATCAAATAATCCAAAACTAAAACAAGCTGTGAACTGGTCGTTTGTCTTGTTATAACCATCATAAATGCGAAATTATCATCAGCCTCTTATTTCTTGTGTGGTTTACTAACTGTAACCAATTGTGGATTTGTCATTTTAGAATTGGAATACCGAACATTTTTAAGCCTAAAGATTTATAAAAGTAAATCCTGGACTACTGGATAAAACATATTTAAATATGTTCTCTTAATAAATCATCAGAATGCTTTATATACTGTACGATCATTTTATGATTTTTCTAAACTTATTACGAAATTATGTGAACATTTGCTATATCGTGTTTGTGTACTTTCGTCCGTGATATAAATACGCTTTGTGTATAAAATATTTAAACTTCTATGATTAGGTTACATCTGTTAGGGTAACATTTTTATACGTAGCAATAAAATTATCAAGCATTTTACATTAATATGTCCACAGTTTCATTTCTTTCAAGAAAGAAAATTGTGACAGCATTTTTCGATTGTCCATTGTCAAGTTTCAGAATGGAGGGGAAGAGATCAACGTAACTTTTCCTTATTTTTACGTCGTGTCAAGCCCAGCCAAAGTTTGGAAAAAGTACGTTTTCCAAATACACGATAGTATTTACAGCTCTTTATGCAATATAATTGAAAACTGATTCTTTTTAGAATTGCTAGAATCAATACAGCAAACATAATGTGTGGTAAAAAATTATGTACATGCAATTGTTAGCCTTTACGTCACTAATGACATGAGTTATTGTTTGTTGTAAAAGCTAAAGGGTTTTATTCAAACATTTAGCAAAAAAGATTAAATGGGCTATTATTATTTTTAATATATTGTTCGAATAGATTTTTTTTATTTTGTGTGTGCGTGCGTGCGCGCGCGTGTGTGTGTGTGTGTGTTCATCTAAATTTTATGCCATATTTATATAGTCATCTGTATAAAAAAAATCAATCATTCTCAGAAAGTGACTATCAATTGAATTATTTTACAAAACAAAATTATCTAATTTTGTGTCCGTTCGAAAATGGCGGAAAGAGGTTATCGTCATTCAAGGGTACGTTTATCTGGCCAAACTTACGATCTCGTTCGTATTCTAAAAGTGAAAATCTTAAATTTACGTTTCAATTAATTAAGGTTTTTAGTTGAGATAAAAAAGTCAGTGCCACGAGCGGGATTCGAACCCACGACCTTCGTTCAGCTAGATACTACACGTTAATTGGTTAAGCGGCCAGAAACTGGTGAACTTAATCTTACCGTTTTGTTCATTAGGATTACGTCACATTATTAATGACATCATCATAAAATTCCCAGTTGGACTTTACTTCCCGTTGTTTGATCGACTAATAATATTCACATTTTACGGAATTTTTTTTCTTCCGTTACAAACGTATATGAAAACCGTCCGGGTGTCAGCAACGAGAATAAATCCCACTAATACGATTCACAAAGAGAAGCTTAATCTAAAAGCATCCTTTTTAATAATAAAAATATAACCTTCTCCAGGGAAACGAAGTATCCCTATGAATAATACTAGATCCAAAGCTCACCAGAAAGAAACACATAGACAAAAACAATACAAAAGGTAAAGGCCATAACAACTGCGGGCCAAATATTCCGTTGTAAAATAAGAACACCGATTAGACCTCTGTTCATACAGAGAGAACTATTATAATGGTCAAAAACATTGGAAAAGAAAACACAAAAACAAATTATAAAGATTGGCGTGTTTTAACATTGGCAAATAAAGTTCACACAGACTCTCAAAACGAAACAAATCCTGACCGAAGAGAAAGAAACTATAAAATAATAAAAACGATCAACATGAATGAGAAGGCTAATAAAGATAGATACTTCCAAATAAAAATAACAAAACAAGTTTGGAAGAATAAAAACTGGAATTAATAAAGGTTTGTTGTTATAATGTACAGATGTATCTAAATTGAACACGGACTCTGGGCAGGAGACGAAGGCCCAAATTTTCACCTATTTTTTAGGTTTTTTTCGACTGTTGATCAAAATGGCGGCGTGGCAAGTTGGGACAAAGTCAATTTTCCCTTCGTCTTTTCGTCAACCCCAACTTTCGATCGTCGTTTTAGTTGTAAATTTACGAAAAAATCTCTTGGTGTTGTAATTGTAATTTTTAACACGACGAAGAGTAGGAACAATCATAAATAGCATACAAGTGTCACGGTCTGTTCTAGATTCAACAAGACGGGCCAAACTCTGAATCCTTTTTATTAGAAACATAGCCCCAGAGGTCTTGATCGAACCTGAATACAACCGATCAGGTGCCTTTTTTTAATAAAATGTAATACAAGTTTGAAAACAATTTATTAATTACACAAGAAAATAACAATTTAAATCAGCTAATTTCCTTTTAAACTTTAAACAAACAATTAATACCTTTCAAATTTAAATAACACTAATTTCATGCAAACCATTTGCCAGACCGTTTGGAACTAGGGTGGAGGGTACTCGCTGTTCCGCTGTGTACCGCAGCACTCTATTTTAGGGAATCCAACAATTTTTAAATTCTTTTCAGGATCACACACTTCTTCTGTCTATCATCTACACGGAATGGAGTTGTTCACTTCTAGACTCGACTGTCTCTACCCACATTGTCTAGATCCTCTTTTATTTTTACTCTAAGCCTAATCATGAAATCTAAATCACAACATTGTCACTTTGAAATAAATTGAAATGTGACACAAGTAAGACCTTTTCCTTTCTTTTCTGTCATTTTGAAAGAGAGATTAGCATATTTGTCGAAGAAAAAGGTTCGTCTAGTTACACTTTTCTGGGAAAATACACAAACAATCCTAGTATATATTAACCAACAAATAAAATTACTTTTCTTTCGTTTGAGAACTAGGTTTTTTCCAACATGCAAGACTTAAATTATACATTGGAATCGTATATTTAGTCACAAATTGTGAGATGAGTAAATGGGTAAACGAACGACAATTCTATAAGCGTCCAATTTTGGATGAAAGATTAAATAGAATTTTAATTAAAAAAATGGCTTGATTGTAGTATGATTTTGCCACCAGATTCCATTAATTCTTTGTCAAATAACAAATGACACAAAAATGAATTGTAAAAGGACTAAATAGTAAATCAATGGGAAAACAAATTAGAATTTTAAAAGTGTCCAATTTTGTTTAAACGACTAAATATACATAATTTTCATAAAAAATTGGCATAAACCTAGTATTCTTTGTGGATGAAGATAATGCTATTTTTAAGAGATGTAAATATAGTCTTTTGTATAAACTTGGAAGCTTTCTGGATATTTTTTAAAGAAAAAAAACAAAAACAATTTTAGTAAATAAAACGGGAAACAAAAGAGAATTCTAAAAGTGTCCAATTTTGTTTAAACGACTAAATAGAATTTTCATAAAGATTTGGCATAGACCTGGTATGGTATTGTGGATGAATATAAATGCTATTGTTTGAAATGTATATTTAGAGTTTTCCAAAATTTTGGATGCTTTTTGGATATTTTTAAATAAAACGAAATAATTTTTTTCATTTTTCGACTGTTGATCAAAATGGCGGCTTGGCAAGTTGAGACAAATTTTTCCCTTCGCCCTTTGGTCAATCCCAACTTTCGATCTCCGTTTTAGTTGTAAATTTACAATAAAATCCCATGGAGTTGTGATTTTTGACACGAGGAACAGTAGTAACAAACGGTAAAAATACACAATTAAGCACTTTTCCTTTCTTTTTCTGTCATTTTGATAAACAGAAAAGTATCTTTTTCAAAAAACAAAATTCAGTGTAGTTCCATTTTTCTGGAAAAATACACAAACAATCCTGGTATATACTAACGAAACAAATAAAATTACTTGTCTTTCGTTTGAAAATGAAATTTTTTCCAACATGCAAGACTTAAATTATACATTAGAATCGTTTATTTAGTCACAAATTGTGAGATGAATAAATGGGAAAAAGAACGACAATACTATCAGCGTCCAATTTTGGATAAACGATTAAATCGAATTTTAATAAAGAAATGGCTTATTGAAGTATGATTTTGCCACCCGATTCGATCAATTTTTCATCAGATAAGGAATGGCAATTTTAAAATTTTTCATAACGATTAACTAGAATTATGGCATAATCGTAGTATAATTTTTCCACCTCATTCCATCAATTTTTGGTCAAATAACAAATGACAAAAATAATTAATGAATTGTGAAAGGATTAAATAGTAAATAAATCGGAAAACAAATGAGAATGTTAAAAGCGTTCAATTTTGTTTAAATGACTAAATAGAATTTTCATAAACCTGGTATTCGTTGTGGATCAAGATAATGCTATTTTTACGCAATGTATATTAGTCTTTCGAAAAAATTAGTACAGTTTTTGGATATTTTTTGAAGAAAATAAAATAATTTTAGAATTTTTCGACTGTTGATCAAAATGGCGGCTTGGCAAGTTGGGACAAAGTCCATTTTTCCTTCGTCCTTTGGTCAATCCCAACTTTCGCTCACCGTTTAACTTGTAAATTTCAAAAAAAATCCCTTGATATTGTAATTTTTTAAAATTTCCCGAAAAAATGTTGAACTCTGGACACCGTTCGTTGCAAGTTTGTTAGAATATGCAGCCGTTTGTGGCGGGCATAGGGTCGGAGGGGTGGGGTGAGCGGTCGGGTCTCTTCGCTCTAACGGTAACCGTGATCAATAGAGAAGGGGTCAGGTTTGAATGCGGCTGTCCCGATTGGCTGGCGTCCCCTCCGCCGCCCGTGCAACCGCTCGGCGCTCAGCGCTCGTTCTCCCCACCTCTGGACGCGCACTCCGGCCCGAAACGAGAGACCCACTACGTCCAACGCCATAACCGACGACGAGATAACCGTGATCGCCCAAATACCAACTCACACACATTATGGTAAATATCCGCTTTGGTATATTATCTTCTTTTACATGCGAATTATCCTTCTCGATCATTTTCCCATTAAACCTTTGTTTTTCTCGTCGTGCAGGCCGGTGGCAAGGCTGGAAAGGATTCGGGGAAAGCGAAGGCCAAAGCCGTCTCGCGGTCCGCTCGGGCCGGTTTACAGGTAAACAAAATGTATTTTTTAACGTCTTAACGAACACTTTTTCATCGCCGCTAATCACGCGGTCCGAGACGCGGACCTCCCCTCGACAAAATAACCTAAAAAGCTTAGCGATTTTTTATTTAAACGTGTGTTTTAATTGTGTACTAACGTTTTTTCAGTTCCCGGTCGGGCGTATCCACAGGCATTTGAAGAACAGGACGACGAGCCACGGGAGGGTCGGAGCCACAGCCGCCGTCTACAGCGCCGCTATTTTAGAATATCTCACAGCCGAGGTAGGCTTCCTTCGGCGTCCCTTTTTTTGCCGCCATTCGCCGCAGAGCAAGGGCATGTTCGAGCATGGTTTTCTTACGTTTTACACTTTTCACTATCGACTAATTAACACAGCACAATAATTTTGACAACTCTAAACACACGGTTTAATTCATTGATTTATTTTTATAAATCGACTTTTGTATGTACACGATTTATTTAACTAAATATCAGGATAACTAGCCGTACTCATTTTACCCGTAATAAAATATCGTGTTGGCACATTTCTCCGTAATATTGGCGGGAAAATCCTTGGGGTAAAACCTCTACTTTTGTTTGGGGAGGGATCTTAATCAGCCCCTTTTTTAAATAATTTTATGTGCATTATTTGAATTTAAACTTTCCATTTCATTTTATAACTTACAGTCGATCCTTGATAGTTTGAAATAGTAGGGACTACAAAAGTAATTCGAATTATCAAGAGAAAAGAAAAGAAAGTTATTAAAAGTTGATGTGCATTCTTAAAAGTTATTACTTAAATTGTACATATAAAAACATGGTAAAAATAATGAAAAAGTGGTAATAGATCAACTGTAAATTGAACATTGTTATTCATGATTATTTGGATATCGCGAGAAGCAGTCTGGTGTGACATAGGTGTAGAAAAACACAACAGAATAATGACACATCTACACAGAAAACACACTTTGAGCCCTGAAGATGAACCCAATAAAGATTGAAACGTTGGAACAATAAAGAAAATATTTTTCTAAACCTACGCCACACCATACCGCATCTCACGATCTCCAAATAATCATTAATTAATGGTCAATAAACACCACACATTGTTACTCATTATTTAAGAAAAATCGTGAAGCTGTTTTCGTTACCAGTGCTAAGAACACATTGACCAAACACTGACCGCCGATAATCACAAACTAGAGAAAAAGAAACTTGAGGAATAAACGATACATGGAAATTCAGAGGAATAATACCCCCCCCCCCAAAAAAAAAAAAAAAAAAAAGAATAATATATTGAGAACAGCTTTTATAAGTACTAGTTCAATTAAAAACATCCTCTCAAATAAAAAAAAAAAAGTACAAAAAAAAAAAAAAAAAAAAAAAAAAAAAGCAACCCTAATGAATGTAATTGTATCTTCTAAGCCAGTGATTCCCAAACTTTGTGCTGCGGCTCCCCAGGGTGTCGCAGATGTACTACAAGGGCACTGTGAAAATTTTCTATAGAAAATATTTTTTATATTTATAAGAAAGACTTAAAAAATTAGGTTTGATTATTTATTAAATAAAGTTGCAGAGAATTAGACAAATTAGAGGTTGAGATTTAGAAATGATGGAGTGGGTGCGGTGTTCAATCCTTTTTTAAAAAAGATAGTTCCTGCTCACAGTAAGTTTTAAGATCTGGATTTCGAGCCCTTAGCTCATCATCAGGTCGAAGGATTTCTACAACCACGTCTCTCAACATGAATTGCAAAAGTGAACCCGCCGATACCTATATATAAATGTGTGGTGATTAGTGACCGTTAATCGATACTTATTCAGAAATCGTGAGACCAGACCGCATCTCACGACTTCTGAATAACTATATATAAATGCTTTTCTGAATTGGAAATTATTTACTACTCGCCACAGAAAAATTCTAAGTATTAAGGGCGCTGGGAACGTAAAAATGTTTGGGAACTGCTGATCTATGCAGTCGACCAGCCTTTACTCTGTAATAGTCTCATTGATTAGGGTATGTGTTCATACCATCCATGAGACTAATATAAACATAAAAAAATCGAGATAATGAAGAGAAGTGGCTCCATTTCAATTTATAGAATGCTCGTTCCCCCTGTTACGTTTTTATGTTTAAAACATTTCACATTATCAAGTGTATCAAATTATACAGAATATTTTCTATTTACCGAAGTGACCTGAGTAGTTCGTATTACCAAGAAATTCAAATTATAAAGTTTTGAATTGACAAGAGTTGACAGTATATGTTCGTGGGTTTCTTTTAGGTTTTTATGTAATACCTGCACTTTGTTACAAATTCAATTTTTGTGGCACATTCATTGTGCCCATATTTAACAAAATTCTGTTAAATTGTCCTAGTAATTAGGTTTTGTAATTTATTTAATTATATCTTGATTTTTTTTTAACATCAATCTTGTTAAAACAAACTTAGGACACTTGCCCATTATTGTACCATCACTTATGCAATTATTCACATATAAGTTTAATTGTTTTAATATTAAAAAAGTAACGTAAATTGCCAGTCTTTACTATTGCTGATTAGAAAAAAATAAATAAAATTAACACGGTTGGAACCATGTATAAGAAAGAACATTGAGTGGTTTGCAAATCAAAAGTGGGTCAGTTTCAAAGGTTGAATATTACAAAGCCTTTAGTTCCAACTTTATTTTGTTTGGAAAGTTTTTCACTTACATTCCTAAGCTTCTTCAGCCTTATACTAATAATTCTAATTTACATTAATGAAAAGAAACCAGCTAACAGGCGAAAAGCTTTCCAAATAAAATAAAATTAAAATCAGTTGGAATTAAAGTCTTCATTGGTATTCTAGCGTTGATGATAGAGTTCAACAAAAAAAGCAAACCAAATCTCAAAAAAACAAGGGGCAATTTCTTTTGAAACGTGTGAACAAAAACTAATTTAACTTTTTGGTATTGAAATAAAATGCAATTAAACAACTAAATTCAAGCACTTTTTATAATCAGCGTAAAAAAAAAAAAAAAAATGTAATATTGTTAACCTAGCATTATCCTGTCAGTTTGAAAGAAGGCTGGGCATAATATCTGCAATCCATTATGTTTAGTGGTCTGGTTGACCAAATTACTTTTTTTCAATTAATTATTCTTTTTATGTATGGTCTTCGTTGAAATGGAAAAGTCAGTCACGAGTGGGACTAATTGACGGTTCGAATCCCGCTTGTGACTGACTTAACACAAAAAGAATATCTGCAATATTGAGACAAAACTGGAACTTTTTTATTGTGCTCATATTTCATAAAAAGCAATGTAGTACGAATGAAAAGGTTTATTTTTTAAGTATATCGACACTTTTTTAACATTGACATTTTTATTGTTTTTGAGGCAAATTTAGAGCACTTGCAGATTGTTGTACCACTACAGAACATTCACATGTTCAATTTTCTAGGCAGGCAAAATGGTTATAAGTCAAGTTGTGTTAAAAATCGCTATATTTTACAGATGAGATATCTGCACTAATTAGCAAAAATTCATCCATTTCTTTTGAAGCATGTAAACAAAAACTGATTAGTCTTTTCAACTTTTTTCAGTATTAGAAGTATCAACCACTTTTTCTCTTACGAACACTCTGGATCAAGATGTTGAAGAAGAAAGCAAATTTAGTTGCTACTGCCAAGCTTTACTGTCCTTGGCAACGTTGAGACTGACTTCAAGGAAATTTGAGATCGCCTGGAAAAACTTAAATACGCCAATCTATAGACATATTTAAGGTTGTTTTGCTCTGATGATGACCTTAAAATAGGTCGAAAGCTTGGCAGTAGCAACCGAATCGGCTTTCTTCAAGACCATACCTCGATCCAGAGTGTTCGTTTTTAACTTTTGTCAATTAATTAAAGTTGAATTGTAAGAATGCACCTCAAAACAACTAAATAGAAAGACTTAAATTTTGCATTTGGATAATAGTGAAAGAACTAAATGGGGTGACAATGGAAAACATTGAAAACATACCTTTTTAATTAATTAATTGACATGTTAACTTTACATAGATCGCGTGTTTTTCTTATAGTAATGTATTGTGATGAATATATACAGGGTGTCCTCTTTAGATGGCCCGACTGTTTCTCTTGAACCAATGACGCTTTACACTATTAAAAAAACGTTTAAATTTTTTTTTTTTTTTTTTTTTTTTTTTTTTTTTTGAGAAAAATTATACAGGGTACCTCAGGTTCAGTTCAATTTCAAAATTTCTACATCCTGACACATCATTTTAAAGGGGTTTTACGCTGAAAACAATAGTGAAATCAGATTTTCAATTGGTCCACAAATGACATTGTTATAGCAGAAAGTTTGAAAAATTACAGGCAGTCATTTGGTTTGCTATTTATTAATCATATTTCTTGTTCGAACTTCCTGCCTTGTGTTGAGATGCAAAGATTTTCTCTTTTTAACTTCCCTTCACCGGTGCTCAAAGCGATAGTTGGAGGTGGTAAAAGAAGAAATATGGACAATTGGGTGTTTGTGTTTTGATTAATGACAAATGACTTATATAAATTTTTGTTGATAATTTGTTCAAACATTTATCGGGCTTTCATACTTGTTCCAGTTAATGGTGAATATATTTGTTTTAAACTTCTGTTATTTTCATAATTAAAAAGAATTTCAATATGCCAGCATTAAAAAAGAAAGGAAATATGTTAACATCATTGGGGTTTTAAATTTTTTGTTCATCAAATATTAAGAAAACTATAATTATTTCAATTACGTTGTAATTTATTTTTTCATATCAGATGTTTATAAAGTGAAAAAATTGGACCTTCATACTCGTGCTATTGAAGGTAGAATATTTTTTATCTTTCCTTTTTTCACTTTGCTATATTTAAATGGTCAAGTTTGAAATGACTTTATTAGTGTAATTTTGAGTCTTCTTTTTAGTTATTGTTATAAATTTTTATAGGTACTTGAATTGGCTGGTAATGCGTCCAAGGATCTTAAAGTGAAACGTATAACTCCAAGACATCTGCAACTTGCCATCAGAGGAGATGAAGAACTTGACAGTCTGATCAAGGCAACCATTGCTGGTGGTGGTGAGTACAGCATTCCTACATACTACGTGTACTTTTTCGTCTCCTCCTTTTTTTCTGACATTGTTTCTGTTTCAGGTGTCATTCCACACATCCATAAATCACTTATTGGAAAGAAGGGTTCGCAGAAGCCTGTGTAAAGTTTAGTTTCTCCTTTATTTTTTTACTTCAGATATTTTTTAAATTAAGGATATTGAGGATTGTATAAAGTTTAAAAAAAATTATAAACACCGCCGGAGACAAATAGAGAAACTTAATAAGAACTCTTAAAGCCAAAGTGTTGCGTGTGTTGTACGGATCCGGGCGGAACCTCAAAAAGTGCACATCTCATTTCTTTGAGATCTATAATATTTTTCTGTATTTTTGTTATTTTTCCCTCCCTTTCGCTTTGTTTAAAGTAAGGAAAATTTTTCATTCATGTAAAATTCATAAATGCTCAAACTGGAAAATTTGTGTAACTGTAATTAATAAATTTATTCAATTTAAAAAGTATTTTTATTACTTGGGCAATTGTATTGTTTATTCATTCTAACAATTTTAGAGGGGAAAATGCCTTACCTTAGCAACAAAAATAAAATAATTTTCTAGAATTTGCCCTTTTTTCATAACCATAGTTTTTGGTTTCTCTCCTCAGTTTCCATTTTGATCTTTGGTGTTCATCCTGATTTTAAGTTTTTAATTGAATATCAGTTTCATATGAGACAATTTTGTAAGTTTTAATTATGAATATTGTATACTCTGTAAATATAACTAGTATTAAATGTGGTATGGTTTGTATTTTGAATTTTTAAGTTTTCCCTATTTATCACAATATCGTACTGTTTAAAAACAATTAATTATTTTAAGGACAAACAAAAACCGAAGTTTCTTTGTTAAAACGTTTTATCTGAAGTTTCCTTTTCTTCCTCCCTAGGCTGTCACAATTTCTTCAATATGCTTTCGGCCAGGATATTTATTTAAAAAAAAAATGGTTAAGATGAACCGATATACAGGTGTGGGAGCCTTAGTTTTAATACTTTGTTCTGGGGGTTGATGATGCCAGGCCGCAATAAAATTCACCTCCCTCTTTGCTCGATTTCCCAATAGTTTTTAAGTTATTCACGATTTTTGCAGTCTGGTCGTGGTTTCGCAAATTTTACATGCTAGAACTTTTGTTCCGAGGACTTTTAAAAAAAGTGAACAGGGAAGCGACAATTTCCTGGCGATACAGCTAGATTTGTAGTTTTCATAAAAAGTGCAAACATTTAAAAAAGCCATCTTTTTCAGCGTAAAATTGTCTAAAAAATGAGACAGCGCAGGTCTGTAACTTAAAAGGCTGAAAAAATATGCATTTCCAAAGTTGTCCATTTTTTGTGTGCAAAAACCAGATGGTCGGTTGGAGTCAGCTCCTGAACCCAGAACAATTAACTGAATCATTCTCCAGAGGGTTGTTTAAAAAAGTCTATTATGTACAAAATATTCAAAACAAACCGTTTACAAAATTTATGCCTTGATAGGATGCATGGGGGTTTTAATCATAAAATAAGAAATACCATTTTATTTGAGGTACATCATCAATATGAGTATTTTATTAATCAATAAATAGGTATATACAATTATTTACAGACTAAAAATAAATAACAAAAATCTAGTAAAATCATAATTTACTATAAACAGTTCATTTTTTTAGTTCTACATATATTGAATATTTAATTTGTAAATAGTTTCTATTAATAATCATTGCGATATTTTGTCAACATTGTAGTTTATATAAATGACAATAAAATAAAATCTGTTTTTTTACAAATCGTTTTTCAAATGAGCAATAAAAAAAAAGTTAATACAGTTGAATAAATATAAAAAATAGTTATTTATATTATGTACATAATAGTTCTTTTTGTTTGTCAAATCACATTCGCTAATATTAAAAATAAACTTAATTATACTATCACATGGAAATTAATTTATATCATGCTTATTTTGCGTGACAGCAAGTCTTTGGTTACATTCGACCGTTGGGCTATTTCTTGAGGATGGTGTTGAAAAATTTAACCATCCTTGTTCGAGCATTGCCTGCCCGGTTGGGCTTTAATCATGTGGTCCCAGATGATGATTCAGGCGGGACGAAAGGGGTCCACTTCAAACAATCTCTGTCAATCTCCTTGTATGTGACACCCCTTCTTTTCGACCTTTCCTCGTACTCGTCGATGACATCCTTGAAAATTAAGAAAAACAATGTTGGTCTTTTTGTAAAAACAGAGAAAAATAATGGAATAATAAACAAACTTGTTTTTTTAGAATAATGTGTTTCCCCTTCCAGTATTTCATCATCCCGAGGGCTTGGAGTGTGCTTACGATGTCGTAAGAATTTATAGCCATCTCTTGACTAATATCTAGTAAAGTTTGTTATAAACATTACAGCATGTTTTTTCAATAAACGATATTAATTATAATTAAATATACCTTTCAAGGATAGTTGTTTACCACCAAGGTTGCACAAGTATTTAAGAAGAACGTCCTTCCAATAAGATCTATACGAAATGAGACCAAGATCAGATAATGGTTTTTCTGGAGAGCCAATTTTTCCTTCAACCCTTGTTAAGAGATAACCTGAAATTATCATTATATTATTACATATTTTTTATTTATTTAAAATACCCACTAAAGTCAATTAGAAGACGCCCGTAGCCTTGTCTCTGATACGGTGGCAATGTCAGAATGCAGGATACATTGTAGTTAAAAAAAGAACTTTTTTCCTAAAAATTTGTCAAATAAAAATATCTGCCAAAATTAAATTAAATTATGTATGACTTGTACCTTACTGAAATAACCAACAGTATGACATCCTTCTGAGTCACTGATTGTCATGACGTAAAACAAAAAAGGTTCAACATCGTAATAGAGAGTTTTATGGTCGAGAAAAAATTTAGCAAGGAGGCATAAATTCTGGCAGTAGGTTTTATATCTCTTCCCGTCTACTTCAAAAACTGAGATTTTGTCTTTTCTGAAAATTAATCGAATTATTTCAATCTAGATTCAAACAAAAAATGAAGTTTTTATGCTGATTACCTGTAAACTTCTTCCCCTGGAGGATGACGCCAGACGCATTTGGCCACATGCCTTTCTAACGTCATTCGCTCTCCCATATAGCGCAGGCAATACTCGCAAATGTACAACTTTGGCAATCTGGCGTAATTATCCGGATAAGGGCTTTGGTACCAGACCTCCATCTCAAACTTACCCATTTCGATGTATTTTGTGCAGTGAACATTTGCTAGAAGTTTTAATTCGTCCTCCTGTGATTCATTAAAAATCATTCAATACTTATCGATTCAGACAAGAACAAACAAGACAAAATGTGTGAACTTTTAATTTTGTTACAAACACAGTGAGGAACAAAATTCACTTAATGAATTACTTAAGGACTTAACTAGGCTAGAATCGCTAAAAAGCTGTTACTTTATTTAATTAAAATTATTTTTATTTGTTGAAAAATACTACAACTACCTTCAAGTAGGTAATCAAGTAACAATGATAAAATTGATAACAATTAAGGATTCTTCAAGGGGGAAGATGAAAGATTAGATTAAGGATTAAGAAAGATACGGAGTTTGGATGTGGTGGATGTTCGATTGCTGAACCCCCACCTCCAGTTCATATGTCCATACAGGCTTACTATGGTGTTACAAAGAAATATTTTATTTTTGAGAAGTATACAGGTACATAGAACTCTGTATTATAACATACTTCTTGTTTTAATCATGGGGGGGGGGTTTCCAAGTCATACATTTGTCGATGAACAGTCCCTGGGCACCTTGTCTACAGTTGGGATTGAAGTAAACTGGAGAAGGGATCTTTTAACAGAGAGTGACAGCTGTCTGGGCGGATTTGACTGTGTTAAATTTTATTCTTTTTGCACCAAGACTTTTGTGGTGTGAGGTGTTACTGAAGGTTTTGAGTGAAAAAGAGGATCAGGGCTTGAGATGATCTTACATTGTCTACAAAGGGTGGATGGGATATCTTGTATACAGCCGGTAATGTGTGGGGCTAGAACACTATCCTAGGGGAACACCAGGAACAATATGGTAGTTTGGGCCAGACCTTACTTGCTGACAGTGAGATAGCTGTAACAATTAAATAGGTAGAAGGTTTCAAGTGGAAACGACAGGATCAGAATTAACTGACAGGATTGCTGTATTGTCCGCTAAGGTTAGTATGGTAGTTTCAGGATGGGCTGGCATCAGCTGTGCACACCTGGTAGTGTGAGAGTCAGAACGATACCCTGAGGAATGCCAGTATGGATAGGGACATATGCAGAGAGGGAATTAACTGCCTTCAATGACACAAAAATGAGCCAGTGAGTTAACTGTAAAGTATGAGATAATACGTGGAAGTCTGGGTCTTCAGCCAAACTCGATGAAAAGCTTGACTTACATCAGAGAAAGGCCCCAAGACAGTACTGCTCCAACTCAAGGGAGCTGAAGGTAATGTCTATGATGCGATAACATTATTGGGACATGACAATTAATTAAGGTTTTTAGTTGAGATGAAAAAAGTCAATGGCACGAGAGGGATTCGAACCCACGACCTTCGGCTAGATACGCCGCTGCTCTACCTCCTGAGCTATCGTGATCTCGATCCACTCTACCTTAATTAATTTTCATGTATTAATTGGTCAAGCGGATCATGAAAGTAGTGAATTAATTATTGGGACAGTTAAGTGGCAGTTGTGAAACCAAACTGTTAGAGATTTCTAATTTTTTTATCCCAAATTTTTTATTTTTTAAATTTATTTATGAAACATTCAGATATGGGAGGGTTTCCATGCTGTAGGGAAGTAGGTTGTATGATGGTGATGATGGTAGTAAGGATACTAGGAAGTAGGGTTTCTGCTCCCCAGACACTGCAGCCTTCTGGCTTATTGTACCTTCCTGGTTCCCTAATTCAGTGCAATAGGCACAATCCTTCTTCTCAGAAGTATCGGTCATTGACTGTCTCTGATATAATTTCATTTAGGTTTTTTTTATGTTTGTTAGGTTAAATCTCCATTGAGCTGTTGCTTTGTATCCGAAGATGATATGGGTGGATGTTTCCTCCTCATTACATAATCGACAGATGGGATCATCGTTGTATATACCCTTCTTGTGTAGATGTTTTCAGATGCCAGTGACCGGTTAATAGTCCTATCACTCCTCTGAGTTTAGCCCTCTCCAATTGCAGCAGTGAGTTTGCCAGTCTTGGTGAGGGTTGTTTTATCATAAGTGTCCAGCGCCACTAGCGTTTATCCAACCAGGTTGTAAGAAGCACAGAATGTAATCGATATACAATAAATACGATGATCTTTTTGGGAAGGTGTAGAGAGGAATAATCAGGCCAAAACCTGGAGCTTTCTTTGATTTGAATGTATAGTAGAATGAATGTTAAAAGTTTTAAAAAGCTTTAGGAGGAAGGGACAATGAATCAGAGAGGGTAAATATTCCTTGACAAATTTTAAGTCTTTGATGTTGGCATATGGAGTGAACACTGCGATCATATAAGAGGCAAAAATTTTCGCTTTCTCCTTGTCTAACTCGGCCCAACTGCAATCAACCTGATGAAGCAGGGTAGATACCATACCGGTAAGACAGGAGATTTTTAGCTACCACCCAGTGTTGTTAGTGATTCAGTGAACGGTCTGAATCAGTTTGAGTGGTAAGCTTGTAATTGTCAACTGATGTTTTAGTTTATTGTTTTTGTTTATTTGAAGTCGTTCTTTTGAGCCTGTCTTTTTGAACTTATGAGATAGCAATTATAAAGTAAAGTTTTGGTCATGACCTATTATCCCACCCTCAAGAAGGAAAAATCATAAGTTAAACTGTTGAGGTCGAATTATAAGAAAATAAAGTAGTAAAGTATTTAATATGACTTACAATAACTTCACTCGCTACAGCTTGGGCTTCTTGGAATAATTTCAAATCGTACTTATTTGACAATTTAGTTAGATCTGGCTGTCGGTCTTTGTGATCGTTGTCTGTTTGATGGTCGTCTTTTGGTACAAATTTACTTCTAATTTCTTTAATTTTGTCCCTATAGGTCTTTTGTTCGGGTGTCGGGTTCATCGAATGTCCCTGCTTTAAGGACATCATGGCTTTTTTACGCTCTTCTTCTTTCTTGAGTCGTTCATTGAGAGCATCCTGAAATACAAATTTATATTAAAACCAAAAATTAATGCTTTATAAAGAATGTATTAACGTCCTTACTTTGCATTGTATAGGTGTCAAATTGTGATATTTTGGGCAGGCTTCTAGTGTAAAATGCTTGTCAAATTTTCCACTAAGGTGACCAGTTGAGTCACAATCTTCTAGAGGGCAACGTCTCTCCCCAGATTCGACAACATTACTCAATGCTTTAGTATTAGATCCTTTCTGTCTGGATCTATGAACTGTAGCATTTTTAGTGTTGCCTTTCTTTGTTGGGGACTTACTCAAAACAATTTTACCTGGAAAACGGTTTATAAGTCAAATCAAAATATAATAGTCTAATGGAAGTTTCATAGGTTGCAACAGTAAGGCGTTTACACAGCACCTCATCACCAAATGGAAAATTGGGTCAAAAATAATAAAGTTGTGATATACTTACTTGCATCTGAATCAGAATCACTTGCAAGTCTTGACATAACATGTTTACTCTTTCTCATACTTGATGAGCGAGTCTGTTTTCTAGATGGAACCATATCATTATCTGAAGTGGGTTGATGAGGTGATACTTTTTTATCCTTTTTAACGGGGGTGGTTTTTTTGTTAGAAGCATGATCCACAGTTTTTGGTCTAGGAGATGCTCTACTTGATTCAGAACTGCTCCCTATGAGTTAAAAATTAAAACAAATTAACTAAACAGATTCAATCACCTTACCTGATGATCTTGACGTTTCTGATGAATTTGACGAGACTGAGCTTGTTCTTTTAGATGCAACTTTTGATTTTGGCTTAGTTTTGAGAACTTTTGTAGCTGCAGTTTTCATTGCTGTTAGTTTAGGAGGAGGGGTCAATGTGTTATCATCGCTGTCACTACTGTTATCCGGGCTGAAAATACTCTTAGTTTTATGTTTCTTTTGGTCTTCCAGTTTGGGCAGAGATGAAGATTGCTTTAAAGTTTCTTTTGGGGCTACTTTTTGAGCGGCTTTCCTGGGTGGGTTGACTTTTTTAGCTAAAACTTTTTGAGGTTGGGTGGATTTAGGTGTAGTTTTCGGTACCGGGGTCACTGTAGCAGAAGATTTCGGTTTAGCCTGTGTTTTTCTCTTTGAGTTCATTTTAGGCGACGAATCTTCGGAGTCAGATGTAAAGTTTGTATTCTTGTGTTGCTGGCTCGGGCGGCCTTTGACATTTTTCTCCTTGCTTTTGTCCTGCTCTTGAGAATCGGACTTACTTCTCGTTGACGCTGTACTCGTTCTTTTCTTTGGAACTGGCTTCTTTTCTGAATCTGTTGAACTCTTTCCGACACCACTTTTTCCGCTAGTGGTAGTGTTTTCTGAATCAGAGCTGCTACTGTCACTCCCAGACGATGAAGACGATGTACTTGTAGATGATGAACTACTACTCGATGAATCTGAAGACGAGACAGCATCCTAAACAAAGGTAATCAGTGAATAACTGATTAAATTTATTCCATGTACTGTTGCAAATGTAATAGTGAAATGATCAAAATCTAGTTTTATCATTACTGATGATCTATTGCTATTAATTTTTGACTTATTCAGACAAAGCAAAGTATGTCATTAATAACTGTATGTATATGAAATGTGTTAGATGAACAGCAACGAACAGCACAGATTATGCTGATGCGCTGACGTGCTGAGTTCAACCGCAGACTCTACATTCTGACTCACCACTACGAGTTAAAATACTAAAACCACTATGAGAGAGTTAAATATATCTTTAAACTACTATTTCATTAAATAATAAACTTACATTTTCAAATTATGCGTGAAGGATATAAGAATTATAATCACCACAGAAGCAATTATGGTTATGTCTCAACAAACCGTTTATAGCTGACCAAAGCAAAGTCTCAGCCGATTCTTTGCACAATTCTTTTAACTTTTGAATCGACTGAGCTTTAAAAAGCTGAAACTTGAAAAAGTACCGATTTAAATAAATATTTACCTTTTTCTTCGGTGACATTTTTGCTGTTACACACGCCTCTTCAAGGCGTGTCGAGACTAGAATTTGCTAGTAGTCGGTTTTCCAAAAAAAAAAAATTTAAAAACCCACAACACAAATCAGCTAAAAGTACAAAAACGACAACAACAATACGAAAAAACTAAATAAATAAACATTGTCATAAACAAACTAGACCTCGGCCGACCAGAGTGGTCCGTGAACGTGAACGTAACATCCCCTGGGGTGGGGGGTGGGGGTTGCGGTAATATTTTTGAATTTATAAAATCAGGCCTTGGTTGAAATGTACTGAAATCCGTTTATTACAATTACTCGCTTTGACATTAAAATCAATGTTTAAAAGTAAAAGAACGAAACCAGTCATTTACACCATTCTGCAATAAAGGAGCGAAAAATTCAAAGTTTGAAAATATTTCTATACTACACAGGGATAGGGTTTTGTGAAAGTCTGTGTGATTAAAACTGTTATTAAAAATTGCACTTAAAACTATCCTCTATTATCCATCAATTAAAACATAAAACTGGATAATATTGAAAATTTTCACTATTGTACTTCCAGTTTTAGGTATGGTACACATGAAAAAGCTTATTAGGAAGGAATTGCAAAGGAGCACCAAATGAATGAAAACCTAGGCTTCCCTAATTACTGCTTTTCCCTTTGTTAAATGTGGTAATGAACTGACATTGGGTCACTTATTTGATCTGTCTTCAATTGCGGGTTTGTCGAACTACTCAAAGCGTTTCGGCATTGTGCCATCTTCTGTGAGAAGCTCATACATACCTTTCAAGTAACGTAGCCTGACTGGCTGTGTTTGAAATGGTGCTAGGTGTTGATGCTTGTGAACTCATGCTGAACTGACATTGGGTCACTTATTGAGACTATCGAGGGTTTGTTGAACTACTCAAAGCATTTCGGCATTGTGCCATCTTCTGTGAGAAGCTCATACATACCTTTCAAGTAACGTAGCCTGACTGGCTGTGTTTGAAATGGTGCTAGGTGTTGATCTTTGAGCTTGTGAACTCATGCTGAACCGACATTGGGTCACTTATTGAGACTATCGAGGGTTTGTTGAACTACTCAAAGCATTTCAGCATTGTGCCATCTTCATTGAGGATTTAGTACATACATTTCAAGTAACGTAGCTTGATTGGCTGTGTTTGAAATGGTGTTAGGTGTTGATCTTTGGACTTGTGAACTCATGCGGAACCAACATTGGGCCACTTATTAGGCTTTAGGGTTTAATTATACCAATCCACAAACTAGAGACAGATATAATATTAAAAATATCACAATACATCACAATACCCATACTTGGTCTTAGAGCCATCTGTATACCAGATATAGTCGGCATTAACTGAAATATCTTTCTACCAGTCTACTATAACGAGTATCTTTTTGAAATTTTTTTTAAATCAAATCTAAATTTTGGTATCAACCAGCATCCCTAGAAACTTGTCTGCCTCCCAAAGTTAAGTTCCTCCCAAAGCTTTAATTGTTCTATTTTATGCAAATAGGCTATGGAGGCTGTCCATGCGTGTGCAATGTGGCTCTTTGACTCCCAGGGCAGCATTTAGCCTCATTCCAGTAATGCCCATGTTAGTCTTTGAGCAGTCTTCGTCAACCAAACCTAGATTAGATTATATGGAAGCCGGCCTATTTATACCAGTATTGGTCCAATTGGTTGGGGTGTAATATACTGCACCCTTTAAGAGCTATTGTATCCCCTGTCGCACCACAGTTTGTTAATAGGTGTGTTGGTGTCTCCTCTGCCTATTTGCAAAATCTGCATGTGCCGTCTTGGATTATTCCAAACTTCTTTAAATGTCCATTTAACTTGCAGGTCCTGTTAAGAATCCTGTTAGGATTCATAGTTTTTTCCTGCTTCCTTTGATACATTCTGTCACTTTTTCCTTCCAAAGTTTGTAAGGAGGTTCTTGCATTGTTTGTGTACAATGAGTGAATTCCATCGTTCCTTCATTTTCTTTTTGTTCTTCTGTCTGAGGTACAGTGTAGGTTCCTATGCCACAGAAGGGCTCGGGTCCTATCAGCAGCCCCTTTCCTTACATGGGTGTCCACTTTCTCATTGCCTTCTACTCCCTTGTGTCCTGGGACTCAGCAGAGGCTGACTTTGTTCTGCCTATCTAATAAGTTTAATTTGGTTTTGCAGTTTAACACCATCTTTGAACTAATGATGTTTGAGCTTAGTACTTTGATGCTGCTTGGCTATTTGACATGGTAGCTATGTTCTTGTTTTTGTACCCTTTAGTCAAGTTGAACTGATTACATCTCTTGATTGCATGAATGTCAGCTTGGATTTTCCCATGGGTTCTGAGTATTTGGCTCCAGGACCAAATACTTCTACCCCTACCTTCTTGTGTTCTAGATCCATCTGTGTACCAAAAGATGGTGCCATTCTTAAAGGAGGTGTTTTCCTCTCATTCCCATTATTTTTTGGTATCTAGGTTTATTTTGAAGGTTTGATTAAATTCAATTGATGTAACTGCTGTGTATAACTAAGAGGAAAAAACTTTGCACTTAGTTTGCATTTACCGTCAGTTTTTTGCTCTCTGTGTGTCTTTATTGAACTGTTCATTCCAAGAAAATCTTTGGTTAAAGATGATGTGTAGATATATAATTTGTTTACAAAAAAAAAGAGCCCCACTTAGCTTGAGTGGTTTTTGTCATCCTAGTGTCTGTTTCTTGGGAAAAAGAATATATTATTTGATATGTTATTAAAAAAAAAAAAAAATCACTATATACGTAGGTCTTGCTGTTTTACTTTAAAATATGTATAACTAAACGGTATATGATGAGGTTCCATTGTAAAGAAGCATACTTTAAAAGAAATATTGTTTATAATGGGAAATATTTTTCGATTTCATTTGTACAGCACGTTATTTGGTCTATAATTGAAAAATAAAAATATAAGTTAGTTAAAAAGAAAGTACCTAAATTTTGACAGTGATTCTCTGGATCTCAAGACGTTTTCCTGTTGCTCCTGCAGAGTGCAGTTTGCTTGAAAATATGAATCTCGTTATCAATCGGGCGGGAAAAGTTCCGTCTGTTGAGTTCCATCTGTGTTTGACTTGTTTTAAGTCAAAAAGGTAGTTTTGAGTTTTGCCATGGAAATGGAAGTGGATGGAACGATCAACACAGAAAGGAGCCTGAGTCTCATTGGATCACGGCAGGTCTCCGTCACCGTGCAGGACATCGAGGCGACTGCCCTTCTCTTAAGAGTGATCAAAGGCAGAATATTGTTTCTCCTTTCGAAAAATAACACTTGTGAGTTTTTATTGGATTGTATTTAACGAGTAATTGTTTAATAATTGTTTTCATTTATTAGCGAATAGCACACATAATGATTGGTCATCGGTGGACCACGATTCTAACGACGAAGTATCAATTTATTTGCTTAAAGTCGCCTTGAAATACATGAAACGATGTGTTGACACTCATCCAGCCCTGTCGAATTTTCTATGGCAGAAGATTGTCCTTAACGAATCCGACAAAGCAATTGTCCACAAACAAAAATCCATTTCAAAAGACTTGTAAGTAGATAAAAGTATTTCTGTTTTATTTAAGGATATATTGTATTTAAAAAATTAAAAAAATCAATTTTCAGTTTGTTGGAACAGGCGGTAAAAGAAGTCGTGAACCTTGCGGTCCACATTTATGAGCTTATGAACAAAAAGCTTAAACAGTCCAAGAAGTACATGGAAGTTGTGCACATGAGCTGGCAAGTACAGTCTAACGTGAACCAGGTTATCCCAGATTCTGAGGATGAAGAGAGTGATGTTAGCGAGAAAATACGGTGAGAGTGCTTAACACTATGCTAGTCACACCTCCTTATGGTAGAAATGTAGTTGCGTCTCTTCTGAGACATATTTTTTTAGATTCACTTTTTTTTTTGCTGCAACAAGAAAGGGAATCTGACAGCTTTGTCATTTCAGCCCTGAGCGCATGCGAAATATTGCAATGCATAAATATTCATTGCATTTATTCTATTTGATGGATGGAGTACTCAATATTCATCTATCAACTTGCATACAATAACAAACAAATCTAATTGGGGTCGATGGGGTAGTTTTATAAATATTCTGCCATTTATCCAAGTCATAAGCTCGAAGAGCGATGGGGTTGCTATTCCACCATCAGCCCCTCCCAATTCACACTAATAAATACACTCACTCATACAAAACACATATCTTGACAGCTATACACAATAAAAAATTCCCAACTCCCCTAAAAAGTGAAACAGGGGACCCTGAAACTTGCTACCGTGTTTGAGCACCATTCTTAAATCCGGCGGCATGCCTACATACTCTCTGTATGGAGCCATGGCATGACACACCTCTATTAAGTGGGATACATCGACAACCTTTCTCAGTATAAGGGTCATCTGCGCGGGCTTTGGCCCGTAAGCAGGTGCCCGTTTACCAAACATGTATGGTCAATCCTCAATCAGGTGAGGACGATCCCTCGTCTCCTGCTCAGGTTCTCTGAGGGCCATCTACCAGTTATCCTCTTGACTCGCAAGAGCCTCTGTGACGACCCCACCCACTGACGCTGCCATCTTTCTTTTATCATGTTTTTCACTGCATGTTTAGCATCAGAGGGTCTGATTGCGATGGTCCAATCCAGAGGGTGGGACGTCCCAGCTTTCGCCGCCTTGTCTGCACATTCATTATCGTCCAGGCCGACGTGTCCAGGAACCCAGACAACAATCACTATTTTTTCTGAGAGGCTCCAGCTCTGTGAATTTCTCTAACAAGAGCACGACGAGAGGATCTACAGAACCTGTCTCGTATATCCTAGACAGCGCTCAGAGAGTCGAAGGCTGAGCCCTCCTTGGTACACACCGCCTCGAGAGCATGCCAAATTGCATACAGCTCTGCCCTGCAACGGCCAGAAGGTGGCCACTCCCTCACTATACACAGCACACACACACACACACACACACACACACCATTGCTTGTCTTGGACCCATCTGTAAAAATCAGACGAAAACTGGTGTATCTATTTCTTAGTTCAAGGAACTTAGTCTTGTAGAGGTATGGCGGAGTACACGATTTGGACAAGTTTGCCAGATCTTCGAGGTGAGTACAGCCAGAAAGGTCCAGGGGAAGCACCTTCCCCAGTGCCAGTGGCCCTCCCTAAGGACTCAGGAAGCGTTTTTTTTTTACTTTAATTTTTTTTAAAAATATAATACAAATTGACATCCCATTAATCTACCTCGTAATAGATGCGTTCTGCGATAGTGTGTGAAATCTGTGAGATGGCTTTTCAGATTCAGCAATAATTAGCACCTATCTACCCCTAAAAACAATGGAAATTGACCATCTCTTCGTTAGATGTCTTGTTACCAAATTTATACCATAGTTTTTCGCAATGCAGTGTAAGGGTTTTTTAACATACAAACTTTTTTCAACTTGCTTGCCTTTCTTGCTAACCCTACTACAAATGTCTCTTTGATTTCTTCACTGCAGGTGACTTATTTTTCTTCACTTTGCCCTGTGTCATAAATTTCCACTTTTTCTTAAATTATTTCATCATTACAATCAGGTGCTACTTTGTCAACTTAGTACTGTAAAAAGAAACAGATTCATTTTGTTTGTTTTTACTTTCAGTGTCAGAATCCACCTCAGATAATGTTTTGGGGTTTTTATGACATCCTCTTCATTTTGTATTAATAATATAATAAATTGAGGCTTAAAAAAGTGTATAATGGGGCCAATTAAGGCTATTTATCACATTAAAAGTAACAAAAGAAAAAATTAATGAATACTTACAAAAGTGGTTATGTGGGAATATAAAATGCATTACTACCAAACACAGTCAAACTTTACTGGCACATAAGTCTCAGTCAGCTATGAGGATGACTAGGGGTAGAAGTATGTATGTTCTAATGTCCCTGAGCAACACCTAAAAGCGTTCTAGCATCTTTTAGATGAAATGTGATGAATGTTACAACTCTTAAAAGTAGAAACAGTTAAATTCAATTTTCTGTTGATTTCAGGTTTCAGAAATCGAAAGGAAATGCTTTAAGGCGAGTAAAACGATTGGGGGAAATCATACAGAGGCTTCTTGTGATTTATCCTGTTGACTATAAGAAGAACGAACCAATGAGAACAATTTTGAAACGTCTTGTCATTGTTGATTCAATGTAATAGGAATTTTCTTAAGATGTCTGTTTTATATTCTATTTCTTCTTAAAAAAATGTATGTTTACAAATTTTTTATGTACCTTATATAATCTCAATATCACATGCTTATTATAGGTACATACATCATGTGAAAAATTGAAACTATGACTTCTTGTGGCAATAATCGCATTTATGTAATTTACAAAATAAATTACCAGCACGCCATGAAAATCGCCTACCTCTGTTCTGGAAGTTTAGGGTCATATCTTGGTCTTATTTGTCCCACCGTCAAAATTAGATTCTAGGAGATGATAAAGGTAGGCCATTTCAGCCCCCAATTGGTTTTTAAGTCTAAATCTATTCTCACTTTTTAATGAATTCTTTCTTCTTTTACCATTTATTCAAGTAGAGGGTGGTTCTCGATATTTGCTGCATCACTCTAGTCTAATTGAGGGTCTGTGTTAGTCAATATTCCACAATCAGCCCATTCACACTAATAAATACATTCACTCAATATATATAAAGATATCTATCAGTATTATATATGGGGGGAATGGAAAGTAATGTCGGTTTTTTACATTAAATTCAATCAGATAAATTGTTAACAAGTTTTATTTTTAATTATTAATGTAATTACCCTCGTTATGAACAACCTTTTGCCATCTAGTGTGATAATTTTCAATGCGAATCGATACAAAAAAATTGGTTTTTGAGCAAAATATCAAGAGATGGCATTTTAGACATCATTCATTTTTTCAAAATTTTTCTACTTAGAAGATGTGGCGATCGGAATAAAAGTAGAACAATAAAATGTGTGTATTTCTGCTTTTTTCATTTGCCTTAAATAGTTTGTAATAATTGTAATTCTTTCCCTGTAAAAATCATATTCTCTGGTGTTAATTTTTGTTACAAAAATCAATGAAAATAAATTTACAATATATTACACTGTTTAAAAATTGTTTAATCTTTTCTTAATCCTGATTTATTTTAGATTTTTATACATTGATGTTAAATTCCTTGCCATTAGAACTGATATTCTCAATTAATGAAATCAAAATATTTTAAATTAATTAAAAGTAAACAAAAATTCTACTCATATAGAACATCAAAATATATGTTGGTGTCTTGAATTAGTGGTCAGAACAACTTTACAATTTTTTGTCATATTATTCTCAAATATTGTTGGATTAGAACCCAGAGCCATGGCTACATTATTGGCTAAAGTAGTTAAGCAAAGAAAAATAAACATTCGATTCAACATGTTTTCTTTCAGTTGTGAAAGTTTTAATGTCCAATCCCATCAATTTTGGTTCACGTGACATCTTTCTCATTCAACAATGTCACAGGGTCGTAGACATCATATCCCTTGAGTGGAAGGGATGCTGCTTGGGTGTTTCCCTGGACGTGTGGCAAACATTTAAGTATGGCATCCGAGTTTCTCTGTGAACTCAGGAACTCCTATTCACTTATTACCTCGTCCTAAAATCCTATCTGATATGTACTTTCAAGTATGAATCGGAACATCATTCCACTATGCTAAACCGGGTGTACTTCAAGGCAGCATCCTTGGTCCCATTCTCTTCTCATTATACACTGCAAGCATTCCTATCAATACTGATGCATCACTACTTAAATATGCAGTCAATACTGCCATCTTTTCAGCAAACCCAGACCTATAGTGGCTTTCAGAAACTTCCAGTATCATTGTACCTCTTGTTTGGAAAAATGGTTCAAGAAATGATGGATCAGACTCAAGAAACAAATCCCATAGAAATAACCTTCTCCCTCTTCCAACGTACTACAACTGTATTCCTCTCCCTACAATCATGGTACCCACAATTTGGATTTTACATTGATAAAAGACTTACTTGGGATCCCCACACTTGATTCAAAGAACAGAACTTGACGATTTTAACTTCTCAAAAGCCTATCTGACAACAGATCGACTCTCACTACAAAACTAACACTACATTTATACATAACTACTACAACCAATCAGGACATACAGGATTGATCTGTAGGGTTCAACTAAGTGGTCCATGTTCCAAAGAGTCCAGTCCAAAATTCTTGCCCAAGCTCTATTTCATATCCAATCTTACTATCCACACAATCCTTCAAATCCCTAGTCCTCAAAACCACAAGAAATTGATACAGATGGCTACATAAAACTCTTGATTCTCATCCCAATACCTTTCATCCTGACTATCCTCTAAGATGCCTTACTTTAATTCTTAATGTGGTTGTTGGTTTGTGAGACTGTGAACACATGTTGAATGTTTTCAGTCGCTAAAGGGTCAGACATGGCCTGGAATGACTGTGCTGGTTCAACATTTATACTTGAGCTATCATGACCTCGATCCACTCGGACACTAACTTCCCATCACAACCCCACCTTTTGAATTTTCCCTCCTTTTTGCCATTTTTCAAATGTTGTGTAATCGGATTGGATTCTCAGTGACAAATGAAATGACCACGGATAGCTTTAGTGAAGTATACTTCATTTAAATTCACTAATTTCGTGGTCCGCTTGACCAATTAATATAGTACAATTAATTAGGGTTTTTAGATGAGATAAAAAAGTCAGTGTCACGAGCGGGATTTGAACCCACGATCTTCGGCTAGATACGCCGATGCTCTACCTCTTGAGCTATCGTGACCTCGATCCACTTGGACACTAACTTCCCATCTCAACCCCACCTTTTGAATTTTCCCTCCTTTTTGCCATTTTTCAAATGTCGTGTAATCTATTTGATTCTCGGCGACAAATGAAAACGGGACACTGACTTTTCTATCTCAACCTTAATTAATTGAAATATATTAATTGGTCAAGCGGACCACTAAAACTAGTGAATGTAATTAATTACATTAACCTAATAAAATATACAGTTGATATGACGACGTACAGGTTGCGTCTCGATGTGTTAATGCTTAGCAATTCAATTCCATTTGGATAATAAAAAAGGACAGACTAAAATTTAAAAATACCTGTATTTACAATTTATTTACATACACTAAGATTTCATTTCAATGTATTTACACATGTATATATTTGTTTTAAATATCTTTTATTGATTCTAATTCCCATTCTTTTGGGACTTTATTCTCTGGTGGGTATTTAAGTTTTTGATCTGGAAAAAAAATTACAAAAGAAAATGTTTTACTAGAATAATACTATAAATACAATACCTAGTGTGGAAACTTCATCTTCGTTTGGATCCTAAAACATCAATTGTTATATAAAACTCACGAATATTAACAGTTTACAAATATTTTTTTACCTTTGGCCAAATTATTTTTTTAACTTCTTTAATGTTTTGGAGGAACTTTTTTGCAGCAGCCTGTAAGTTTTTAGCTACAACATCTTCTTTAAAAAATACGAGAGTTGTGCAGATATTTTGCACATCGGCTAGAATAATGTTTTAACCACATTAATCTGGATGTCACCAGGGGGGAAAAAAAAGAAGGTGTACTATTATCAAGGGACAAAAAGGTCTGAGCGATGTGGAAAGTGGAACAGAACATCTAAGGTCCGGCTGGTAGAGACAGGTAGCTGATTGTTATGACAGGTGACATCTTTTTCGTGGTTTTTATCAGGTCCTCTGGAGGATCTTAAGAGAAACTGAGGGAAATCAGATTACTGAGGAATTCAGAAAATCCAGAGGATTGTCAAAAGAAAAGCAGGCCAGACTACCATTTATTTGTTCTTTTAAGGCTTGGCTATTTTTTTAAATGTAAATTCTGTGTGTTGGCCAAAAGAAAATTAGTTGTTAAGTACAAACAATGTATTATTTTAACTTAAAAAGGTGTTTTTAATATAAGTTACTGTTTAATTTATTTTGTCTTTCTTGATTTCATTTCAACCTTTATGTTTTGTTAGTGTCGACCAGTCTGATTATTGTACTTTTTATGGAAAATAGTGTGGCAACCTATTTCTATATTTATTTACACCATCCACCTAATGCACTTCTCCACAGAGCGCCTATATCTTGGGTTTATTATTACGACACCTGTGACAATATAAATATTTTTATTTTAATTAACAAACCTGCATTTTTTTCCATGTTTGGTATTAGTTCCCCTAAAGTTGCAATAAGCGCTTCTTCTTCTCTAGGATTACCCTCTTTCAAACTCCACAACTTTCTGCTCATCTTCCTCGTCATTTTACTCGAACGAGAGCTTAAAATTAAAATATAAATATTTACTTAACTTGCCTGATATTTAAAAAGTAATACTAATCAAGTACACAAAAGATGGATTGGTCCTGAAAGAAGAAACACTACTGCTGGTATCACTCATTTCGTCTGAAAGAAAATAAAAGTTATTTTGTAAATTAATTGGATTGAAGAGTATAATAATATGGCATACCAAAGTCATGGAACCTTGGCTTATTCGCTTTTTCTTTTCTAACGATTTCCAATCGATCAACATATTTCTTAATAGTATTATGCTTTGTACTAAAATCATCAAGAATAAAAACTCCATTGTCTAGTACATTCTGTTTTATGACATCTGTAATGAAATATAACATTAAAAATGTAAACAGCCCTCAAACCTTCAAATTGAGTAAGTAAATTCGGATCGTACTGAAATACTTAAAAACGCATAAAAATCATGTACCGATCAATTTGATTTTGTTGTGCTTTAAGACTTCGAAAATCGCTTCCTGCCAATACTTCCCAAGCAAGAAAGCGTCAATACATTTTTCAACATCGTGCAGGCATTCCAATGCGACGTTTCCGGCTTCCCTGTATTCTTCTGAAGAAATGAGCCCATTGTAAAGGGATTCTCCTAACCTTCTGACATCGTCATCGCTAAGACGGAAAATGTATAAATACAAAGTAACCAACAGACAAAAGAAAATAGCAAATTACCTGAAGTTGCACTGCCGCGACAGAATAATGCACTGCCTCCAATTGCCGGATTTTGTAAAAGCCTCGATAGCTTTTTCTAGTTTATTAGCACGAGCGAACATGATACCAGCTTCTTCAAAGTGCCTCTTCTTGTATAGACTCTCACCGAACATTGATGCCACAAGAACATACCTAAAACAATAATGAGCAGTTTAAGCTATCTATTTAAATTGATCTAGATCTACATCTATCTCACCTCTGGACATCATTTTTAAATAATTCAAGTGCTTGTGAATATAAATTATACTCTTTTATCAAAATATAACATTCATCCATTTTTTCCTCGCCACATTTTGAAATATGATTTAAAGCTGATTTAGGCCTTTTTAGTGTCCTGTCAATAGTGTATTTCATATAATTGATCTCCAAGTCTTTTAAGCTGTTTAAATAAGGCACGTATTCTTTTGGATCCATTTGCGATTTTTCTATTTGTCAAAACAAAATATTAACATTGACATTTATCATTTGAAAATGCTAAGATTCACCTGCTATTTTTAAAGCTGCATTGAGATTGTAAGTACCCAAAGCTTCTTTATAAAGTGATTCAACATCGACAAGGAAAAGTAAGTGTTGTAAAGATGAAGGATCGTTGGCCAGTTCGATGGCTTTTCCAATTTTCTTTAATTTGACTAAACAGCTCAGTTTTGCAAGGGAGTTTTTATTGTCGTTTTGTCTGGACAAAGCTTCAAGAATCGCATTACAGACAATATCAATTTTATCAGTCAGTGTTACATGACTATCCTGTAAGAAAAATATAGCAAGTATTTTAAAAAATGTTAAGTTTATGGTTGTTTGAGACCATACCAAGAAATTTCACTTTTTAGTCTGACAAATTTTAAATTATTGGTTAAAACTGTATGATTAAAAAAAGTTTTTATTCAAAATTTAATCTGAAAATGTGTTTAACATTTTATTCTTGTTTCAAAGATAGATTGTATAAAGTCATTAATTTGATATTTTCACCACAAGTCTGTTAATGTTTTAATGACGCAAGATTTTAAAACCGTCTGAAAGGTCAATAAAAAGTAAAAGAACTGAATTGAGACTACTGCCCGGCAATCTGATGGTTCTGAGGGCTGTTCATAACTTCAGGATAAAACTGCCTTAACCAATAATGCATAGGTTATTTGTTCTTACCCGAATGTAGTACGCAGAGTAAACTCCTTTGGTTACATCCTTTTCAGAGAGCTCTGTTACCATCAGCGTTATCCATTGCTGGTCTACCTGATCGACAAACTTATCTACATTTTCTAAAAACATTTCTGGGTCGTGATCAACGCACAGGTCAAAGGTTATTCTCTGCTTTCTCAACAAATGGACAGCATCATTGTAACATTGTTTGTCAAGTAGTGAACCGATGGCAAGAATCGTTAATGCCCTCGGCTGTATCGTCTCTAGGTTACCTCTTGGATGTTGCATTACCACTGAATTCCCTGTGACTAAAATTATTTTTGATCCTCTTTCCAATTTCCTAAGTGAAACTTCTTCACACTAAATTTATCGTAAAAAATTAATATAGTAATTATACAACATTGGTGAAATTATATTACTTACTGTTTCATCTAATGTTTTTAAAATAAGAAGAGTATGATGAGTGGTCGTCGCTAAAATGTAAGGCTTCTTCACAAAAAATGATGTTATATTTGCAGCGATTTGTTTTTCATTTACATACAAGTGCTTTGTGTTACTTAAAGCATATATGAAATTGTCAACAATTACAGTGCTGGATACTTGCTCAGGCAAGGAAATTATTGGTAAATTATCATTAAATTCGATATTGCATTTAATAAATTCATTGTCAACAGTCTGTAACAATGCTTGATCGTCTTTTCTGATCACTGCAATGATCATTTTCTCCAAACGAACAATTTCTCTAAAATAAAAAAGTTAATATTGAGCCATCAAAGGTTGTTTTTTGAAGGTTGGCAATTGATTATGCTGAACGACCAGTAAAAGACAATTGTAATTACTTCAAAAACAATCCATCAGCTTCAACTTTGATAAAAGCGATATCCGAGAATCCAGTTTTTGAATTTGTGTTACAACATACTAGCATATTATTTGTCAACCATTCCCATATTCCTAGGATGGATTTGTTGTCAAGTTTGTTGTTGTCAAAGGGCATATCAAATATTTCTGAAAATAAAAGTTAAAACAATTACGTGGACAACAAAAGATGAAATATTTGGGAAAATGCTACTTGACAAAGAGGGATTTCCATCAACTATTTCAAAAAAGCAGATTTTGTTATTACTACAGACAGCGCATAAAAACCAATTATCACAGCCTTGTCTGAAAACAAACAAAACAATATTAAAGGAAATTGCTATATCAATTTAAACTTTCAAATGGCTTACTTGAAATCTGGGCAATATAATATTTGATTTATAGAAGAATCACAGTTTAATGACCAACAACACATTGGAGGAGGTATAATAGCCGTATTAAATGGTGTTAAAAGTAATTTATCTGTAGGAAAAACAAAACAAAACAAGTTACTACAAAAATAATACAACTGAAACCCATAGCGGACACCACTCAGTAATGGGATTTTGCCTGGTTATTAGAAGTGTCTAAGAGTTAAAATAGAACAAATATCAAATTGTGAGATTTCCTCCTATCCTCAAACATTGAAGATAGCAAAACGCATCTGACCGAGAAACCTGGCGAGGATAAACAGACCAAAAATAATAGCAACAATCAAATTACATAAAAAATGTTAGATAAGTAAGTGAAAGTGAAAAAAAAAAAATGAATGCAAATTTAATTTTCTTTTTCCCACAAACCTGTATGATTTTGACCCTTTCTCTGACGGTTTTATTTTTTGTATTCATCTCTGAATCTGTTTGTCATGATTTGGCAATAGTTTAAGTTTGTACTAACTACTTAAACTGAAAAATGACTAAGAAGATCAAAGAAGTCAAAGTTGTAGGGAGTTTGAGACTTCATGAAATATAACTTGGATATATTGGATGTCATTTGTGGAATCCTGTCGTGTTTTTATTTTTGCTGTTGGCTTATAAGAGACTTTTAATAGAAAAATCTAAATTTTACTTAGTAAGTGTATGGAATAATAAAGGGGAAAATAAAATTTCTAGGTCATGAAGGATGTCTGGTTATTAAAAGTGTCCGTTTAGGGAAGTTAAACAGAATAATAATTTACCATCATCAATAACTGATATGTAAGAGGATTCTGGTTGTTTGTAAGTGCTATGATCAACAACCCAAGTGAACTCCAAAACATGAAAGATTTTGTCATCGGTTACTACAAAAAGTCTGGTCTCCTTTTGTTCATCCCACGATACTAAAATCTAAATGTTTCTTGTTAAAATTACAGGTTGGAGAATTAATGGATGATAAGGCTTACAGGCTTCTGACTGAATTTAAACGATTGTTTCAAATACCAATGATAATTCCCAGTCGTCCATAGAGATAATAGATAATCACTTTTCTTTGTGACAGTCACAACCAAAATAATATTTGAGGCAACATTCCAGTCAATACTGATGACCTGGAATTTAAATAATGATAAATATTTTTTCTCTTCTATAGACAGTCTTCTATAGACAGACAATTTAACATACCTGAACATCTTTTGAAAGGTTGAAGTCGCCATGCTTCAGGCCATTCTTTTCCATGAAGCCAATAACATATCTATTCATGAATCGTTGACAAAAAGCAATGAGATTTCCCAGAGGACGCCAACACATTGGGGTTTCCAAACCTTAAAATGATTAAATGATTATGTTTTGGTACTGGTCTGGTCAACAAGGTCTATATGTTTTTGTCAGATGGGTTTCAAATTTTTCCATCATAAGAAAAATTCTTAATGCTCTCTTCTTGTCTCTAATAAAACCATTCACACTGACCTCCATATTCCCTTTGTTCACAACCTTGTAAGAACACATTATCAGAAATTCCACAATATCCTTTCCGTACAATCAAATCCCCTCACCCAACAACTTTCCACGCTAATCCTACCAGGAAATCTTTGACGTTGGCTGAAGAGGCAATGGCCTAGGGATTGATTCTGTGATGTGTATGTGTGTGCAGTGTGTACCCATTAATCCTCAATTAGGCTAGTTATATAACAGGTGTAAAGGATGATGTGAATGGTTTTGAATTTAGGAACTGATTGCATTTGGGGGCTAAAATAATCTAGCTGTTGATAGTCCTTGCAGCCCAAGCCTGGTGGCTGGATGGATAAGGCTGAGGTTTGACACACAGTCTACCAACACCCGGGGTGTGTGATTCTTGGGGCCTACCAATGATTTATTGTAAATTACAAAAGTTGGATTTGCCAGTACACTGCAAAGTGATAACCTCAACTCTGTACATGTGTGCATATATATATATATATGAACATGCACGTGCAGATTTGAACTTATACAATCAGCAGTAGCAGCATAAAAGTTTTAGATTTTTGTCTTGTATTTTAAAATTAATTTAAATATATTCCAATTACACTTGCATTTTGAGATGTTTTTGTATACATGATTATTGTATATAATTAATTTTTAAATTTGTTTTGTAAATATTGGTTTATCAAATTTTTCTTTTTGTTATCACATATATCAATTTGATGTATATGGATCCATATAAGTTTAGGGGTCATAATTGATCATATTAATTATTTTAGTTAACCATTTTTTTTATCTATGGTCTTGGTTGAGATGAAAACGCTATTGACTCAAGCGGGATTTGAACCCACGATCGAATCCTGATTACACAACATTTGAAAAATGGCAAAAAGAGGGAAAATGTGAAAGGTTGTAGGTTGAGATGAGGAGTTGGTGTCCAAGTGAATCAAAGTCATGATAGCGCAAGTGGTTAAAGCAGCGGTGTATTCAGCCAAAGGTCGTGGGTTCGAATCCCGCTCATGACACTAACTTTTTCATCTCAACTAAGACCTTAGATAAAAATAATAATTATTTGTAATTACTGTTGTTTTCTCAATATTGAGGGAGACTGGATTCTGAGATCACTATGTTTAATGTTCCTGATAACTAATTCTCCTTTTTTGAATATAGACCGCTGTAGTTGAAATAATAATGGTAAAAAATCATAATAAAACCACAAATTAGAACATGTAGGTTCTTATTGTTGAAAGTAGACACTGAATCTGGACACCAATGCATTCTTATTAGTTTTTTAATGAGGGTGTTTCAATTACGAGGTAATATGCACATCACGTGCTGTTGTTTTTAAAATAAAAGGCCATTTGTAAGTATGTTGGGTACAAATTCAGGCTGCTGTTTTCGAACCATGACCTTTACCTAACATCGATGAGTGGCCATGGTCATTGACACCCCTAAGTATACAAGGTTTTAGGCAACTAGAACTGTTGCAAAAAAAAGTTTCAACAAATCATGAATTTATCTACCTTGTAAAAAATAAAAATAAAATAAATAAATAAAAATAAAAGGTTTAGCTGAAGTAAGTGAAAATAAGTACAAATTTATCGACTGAATACTTTGAATGACTACAATAAAAACATGGATATGAGTCAACACATGATGTCGCTAATTACATAATAAAAATCTGAGGTAAAAAATTGTCTTGGCCTGGTTTCTTTTCTAGTGAACAACTGGAAAATACACAATATCATGAATCTAAAAAAAACAAATAAACGCATCTAGATATAAAATGCATATTGCAAGCTACCTTATGCGAACTGAAATACCACCAATATCAACATCTGTAGGGTGGGACAAATTTAAGAGAAAAAATTATTAATTTTGTTTTCATTCATAGTTCCATTGGATGTTAATGGGTTAAAAAATTCTGAAGGTTAAAAAGAGTCTATGTAAACCGATACACCACAACCAATATTATCTAGAGTTCCTTATTAAACTTAAAGCTTTGTTTAGCACTCCTATGTGTATTTAAATAATAATAAGGATTGTATATTTAGTAATTTACCAGGTAGGTCTTCTCCAATGCTCTGAAGATTTCCTTCTTTGTCAAAAATTTTGATCCTGCGCTTATTAAAAGAGTTGCACCAGTAGTTTACAGCAAAGAGATCACTATCGCCTCTCCAAGTGATTGAAGTTGATAAATCATTCTTGATTTCACTTTGTTCAACAGTCTCTTCTTTAATTTCTTTCTTCCCAGCGCTACCTTTGAATTGGGTTTCTTTTTTACCCCAACCGACACTGACTGATTTTCGTTCACCCTCATCTAGGCTCTGTAAATCTACAGAGTTCAATACTTCGAAAGACGAGTTAATGATGAGGAGACGGTCAGTCTTAACAAGTACAGCGGCTTGTTCAAGGTTTGGGCTCCATTTTACGCAGGTTATTCCTTCTACAATGAAGTTAGCGTTTTCCGACAAGACCTCACCATCCTGGATCATGAGGGTGAGGACTACACCCGAAGCATAAACCAGATGGATTTCTCCAAAGATCTCATTGTAGATGGAACCGACAACATCACTCTCTTTTCCTGATAGGTGGAGTAAAGTAAAATCGTTCTTGACATCTTGAAGCTAGAACAGACAATATTTGATAAGTTTATTATTTCAAAAGGAATTTTGAGCAGTAGTTAGAAAGGATAAAAGACCCAAACAAGTTAATTATAAACATTCGCCTCACCTCAAGATTTGGCAGGATCAGACTGTAGAGCCTGTTCCGGTGAAAAATGAACAACGATTCTGGCCCCTCTGCACGGATCGAGGTACCTATTATTTTCAAATCGCCTTCGCCAAACTCCTCAATTCTACGACTCACGTTTAGGAACAAACGTAAATTCTTCATCGCCGTCGGCGATTGAACATAAAACTGCAAAGTGACAACTAGAATCGAGACTACAACTAGGAACTACGATAAAAACTGAAGAATGTAGATGTAGATTGTAGAACTAAGAACAGTGTGAAGGTTCTTATAACAGTTATAACATCTAAAAGTTAACATCATCGCCACCACGTGTGTCTTGTGGCTCAACTCGATTATTTAATCGAATTACGAAAATTTAGCAAACATTTAGCAAAAAATTTTGCTATTTATAGGTCAATATTTAAAATACCGATTTTTAACAATTTTCCTCACTTTTCATGGAAAACCCTACCAAGTCATCCTTACTATCTTTTACATTAATCATCACAATTGATTATATAATTATTTCAATGAATTATTCTTTTTATCTAAGGTCTTAGTTGAGATGAAAAAGGCAGGGTCACGAGCTGGATTCGAACCTATAACCTTCGGCTTTGAAAAATGTCAAAAAGGATCAAACCTCGGCCTTATCCATCCAGACAAGGCTTGGGCTCCAGAGACTACCAACATCTAGGTCATTTCAGCCCTCAATACAATCAGTTCCTAAATTCAAAGCCATTCACACTCATTCACTCTTAAATACATTCTTATTTACATACTTAGTCAAGGTGGTGGAATACTCAATATTCCTCCATCACCCTTTACACCTGTTATATAACTAGCCTAATTGAAAATCGACGGGGTACTCCATATTCCGCCATCGGCCATCTAACATTACACATTCATGCCAATAAATTCATTCACTCTCAACGCAAGCTAGGAACACAAAACTGTCAGTACTAAGTATGGTAAAACAACCCTGTTTCCTCAGACAGGAACTAACTAAGGTTTTTTAACTAACTTTTTAACTAAGGTTTTTGGTTGAGATGAAAAATTAGTGTCACGAGCTGCTCTAACCGCTTGAGCTATCGTAACTTCGATCCCCTCGGACACCAACTCTTCATCTCAACCTACAACCTTTTGAATTTTCCCTTTTTTTTGCCATATTTCAAAGCCAAAGGTTGTGGGTTCGAATTCCGTTCAGAATACTAACTTTCTCAATCAAGACCTTAGATAAAAATATTCTTCATTATTCTATATAGATGGACAAAATTATGCACCACCCTTAAAATTGAATGGGTTTAGGTTTATTCATATTTTGCATACCAAAAATAGGTTTTTTTTTTTTTTTTTTTTTTTTTTTTTTTTTTTTTTTTTCCCTGGCGTTATGAACTATGCATATTAGCATTCACACAATTCATATATGTGGGTTCAAATTTGGGGGGGTTATTGTGAAAAAAGGGCCAGAGGCGACGGTGGGAATCGAACCCACGACCGCGGCGTGAGAGTCTCTCATGCTAACCACTCGGCTACCGCGGTCCCCATTTATGCTTTCTACATCTGCTAAATGTTTTTTTTTTTTTAACAAATCATTAGCTATTTAAAAAAATTATTGTTATTAAATGCTGTAGATTTTTACAGATGCTATTTTCAATTTTGTCGATAATATCAATATAAATAAATATAGTCTATAATATAAAAATATAAATATATCAATATAAATATGTTCTAAGTAAAAATTTTCAGGTAATAAATTTGAATATATTAAATATTGAGGTTTAATATTTAATACCTAGTGTGCTGGTTGCAATTTAATTGCAGAATAACACGTTAAGCGAATAAGCTTTCTAATATTTAAATGAATAACGTTCCAAGCTTAATTAAATATTTAGAACACGTAGTAATTTAATTCAAGCTGTAGTTTGAAATTAAGCTGTAACAAATATTACCTTTCTAGTGTGCATGCAACTTCCGCATTTAAATTTTTAAAAGCCAAGCATAAAAAAATGTTTACTTTTGTTTATGGAAGATAAACTTTTAATGTTTCAAAATTAAATTCATCCTTAGATTTAAACTTGAAGTGGATGCCATGAAGGTATTGGAGGAAACGACCAGACTCAATGAAGGAATAGCTATATAACACATGGGAACCATCGGAGAATTTATTTGAGCTGAAACAATTGTTAAAAAAAATTCAAATACTGGACAAAAACACCAGATATGAAGCAGGTTAAGAGATTTATAAATCTCTCGTGATATGAAGGCGAACTCTATCTCAGCATACAAGATTTTAGGAAACTTACAGGCCTCTATAATGTCCACTGCCTTCTGAACTACCACCTAAAGAAGATGGACAAAGCAGAGACAGAAACATACCAACTCTGTCAAGAGAGGTTGATATGTATTGTAATCGACACATATTAGCCACTTCGGTAAGGCAATCTAAAAGTGCACGAAGAGTCACGGAGGAAAGTGCTTAGTTTTGTGGGAAAAGCGCACTTTCCACGGTATGGCCATAACATAGGGGGTTCCACAATATACCTATATAGGGCGTGGTGGCAAAAAGGTTGGAAAACTTACGTGAACCCCCACTCCTAGAAAAGTCACAATTAAAAGATTTAAAAAAGTTAAAATAATTATTTTTTAGATTAATAAAACTTGAAATTTCTCAGGCAAACACCGTGGAACTTATGAATTATATACAGTAAGCAAATAGTATAGAAAATAACAAATCTGACAGATCTTTCTCTCTAACAGATGGGAGTGAATCCAGCTAGTGCTGGAACCTTCTTTTATGTAGTTAGGAGGGTAAAGACATCAGGTCACGAGAGTATCGACGTTTTAGATGGCGGGAGGATTACAAGAGTGGGACGAAGAGGTTTGGGCTACTGGGTTAGAGTGGAGGCAACGTTTAGAGTGGAAATTGAGGAAGTGTATTCGGATCAGATCCTACACGAATGGGATGTTAAGATCTTTATGCTTCATATGATTGGTGAAGTAGAAGGGAGCCTTGAGGATACGGCGGAGAATTTCGGATTGAAAGGATTGGATTCGTTGGATGCTGGAAGATTTAGCCGAGCACCGCAGTTCCACCCGTAAGTTTGAATAGGTCTGATGAGTGTTTGGTAGGCGGTTATGCATGCTTAGTGTTGATTTTGGTCCCAGAGGGAGTAGTACATACATTTTGTTAAGTTCTTATCTCCTTGTCGGTAAAACATGGGGTCTCAAACCATGGGTAGCCAAATGGCTATATACCGCAATTATTCTACCTAGATTATTGTTCGCAGCTTAGTATGGTGGAAAGGTCTAGAAAATAAAGGGAATATTAACAAATTAAGGTCATTTCAAAGACTAGGCTGTTTGATGATGACAGGAGCATTTTCAAACACACCCACCCTCGCACTTGAGATCATGACCAATACCACACCTCTGCACATAGAGGCTAAGGTCAGAGCACTAATCAGCTGCTACAAATTAATTAGTGAAGGCAGCTGGAACCATAAGAGCAATAACATAGCCACTCGAAAATCCTACAACTATTGAGAAGGTTAACGGCCAATTATTAAGCGTTAGCGGTAAAAAGGTTAAGGCCCCTTCGGGGAAAAAGTACTTTCAGGTAGTCACTCCTTGTGAATATAACTATAATGCGGATGATGACCATCGTAACATAGACTGCTATACAGATGGTTCACTTATCAAACATAAAGGAAGTGGTGCTGGAATCCATATACCTAAATTAGGGATCAGCATCTCCTCCCCTCTTAGCAATAACACCTCCGTTTTTTAGGCGGAAATCTAGGCCATTAATGTGTGTTGTAGAACACTTATGGGAAATAAAATCAAGGGAAAAGTTATTAGAATTTTTTCCGACAGTCAGGCTATTCTTAGGTCATTACAAAAAGATTTGTCAACATGGAGGAGGAAACTGTAGATCTTATCAATTCTGTTCTTCCAGTGAGAATAGGGTAACCCTTATTTGGATACCAGCACATAAAGGACACTGTGGCAATGAAGAGGCGGACAGCCTAGCCAAAGAAGGCTCTACTACTGCGTTTGTCGGGCCACAACCGGTATTACCTCACTCTATAAGCACAGTGAAAGAGAGTGTTAAAAACTAGTGTATGAAACAATTCCTTAAGGAATGAAATCTATCCCCCGGACACTGGCAATCGAAGGAGTTTGTTAAGGAGATCAAACCAGCCGAATCGAAATGGCTATTCTCTAACTCAAGGAAGTGAATTCGGAGGCTGATAGGTATCCTGACGGGTCACTGCCCACTGAGAAGACACCTCTGCGTAATGGGTATTCTACCAGACCCCTTTTGCCGTTTTTGCGAAATAAAAGAAGAAACGACAAGGCACTACCACCCAGAGTGTGATAGGTACGCTAGGTCTAGATTCGAAACTTTTGAAGGAGAGGACATCACCAAATCACTCCCCGAGATTAAATGGTCCAAAATAGTGGGGTTTGTAAACAGGTCCAAGAGGTTTATGCAGGACCAAGTCCCGGACCGTTTAGTCTCTTGTACTACGTACTGTGAATTGTGTGTGGATATTCAGGTCTGTTAGCAGAACAGATGGTACAGGATTGGATCTAGGATACGTCCTTGTGTAACGGGAGAGGAAGCTTCAGGATAAGATATGCATATATAAATTATATTTCAAAAATTTAAACTTATCACACCATAATTGGTATTTTAAACTGTAGTTGCACATAATGTAAAAACAATAATTGCTCAGTATTTGTATTTATTTATACTAAATGTAAAATCAAGTTGGTAGGCAAAAACATTCGAGTGTTATAAATTCCCCTCAACTTCGTTTTTTAAAGTTAATTGTACCACTTTCACTCCTATATTTAATGCTGTTCTCATTACTACTCACTCTATCCAACGGAAATTTTCTATTGCTTTAAAGTCTTAAAAGGGAGGGGGGTGGTCGCAATGGTTGGTGTTCATCACTGTAAGGTAAAGGTTCCCTGTTCGAATCCAGTGGTCCTGTATTCGAAGCCGGGATATTTACAAATCGGGTTTTTTTTTAACACGGCACTCCGAGGGTTCATATAACCTCTTATTTGACACAAAATCGTACAAAAAAATTCTTACAAACCTACATACTTTTTCAAGTTTTAAGAAGACAGCATGTAAAGACATATCACATTACCTAAATATGTGGATGAAATTGCCATTCACGCCTACTTTTCAAACTCAAGTAAAAATTCTTTAATCATGATTTGGAAAGCAGCGGATTAAGATTGTCACCAAAAGTGAAAATATTACTTTGCCATTACGCTGAGGTAATCTTCTCCTAATTTCCATTCAACGCACCCCGCTTCACTCTTCAGGAAAAACGTTCAAGTTACCGACAATTCCTAAATCCTCAAAAAACCCACCCATGACTATATGGCCCAACTATATCCCTAACTTTCTCATAATCTTAGAAAAATCTGTATATTAATCAAGGAACTAAATAAAATATCAATGGAGGATAAGTAATAGATGGGCCTGTGAAATGTTTATTTCACAAACTGTTTCACCAACTTTATATTTTAAATAAGGAATAAATATTATATATTATAATAAATATAAATTAAATAATAAAAGGAAATAAGCTTAAACATGACGTGTAAGAGGTAATAAAAATATTCTCACATTAATTTTGAGTTTCCAAATAAAAAGTTAAGTTTTAAAAATAAAACTAAAGTCGTTAGTACTTAGTGTAATTTGACGCAGTAACTATTATTTTTCAAAAGTTTTCTTTCATAAATGAATAAAAGAATCTAATGTGAAGCCACAAAACATTTATTTTCACATCTTAATGATGTTAAAACGCCACTATCAACGAACAGTACTGCCAACAGCACGGATCAAATACCGAATAGTCCATCATATCCTAATAAGCTATCGATTCTTTGTCTGTTTTCAGTTTGCCAGGTAGATATGGAGTCAGGGTCTAAGTTGGAAGGACTAACTTTGAAACCATCGTCGTCGATGTCACATACTGTACCTGACCTGAAAGAGGTCTCATCCTCTTTTTTTTTCTCCGCTTCGTTTTCATTTTCTTCTAAATCACGTTGAGAAATGTAATAATTTATGACGTTTTTGGCAGAGAGCGTTCTTCTTTGATTTTTCATTAGATTAGCTTTCTTTTTTCCTAGCATACTATGCTGTTTCCGAAGCATTTTACTTCTTGTTTGGAAATGTTTGAATAACGATATGCTATCTTCTTTGTTTTTATTTTTGACCACTGGTTGGAAGAAACATTGGTAGGCTCGTTTCACTTTCGTAAGCGGTCCTTCTTTGGCTTTGCTTTTAGTCGAGGCGGACATGCTGCCTTTCGATTTGTTTTCCTTTTTTTTATTTATATTTTCTTTTTCATTAGGTTTTACTTGCTGCGGTGGTGGGATGGGTTTATTATGTTCTTTGACCATTTCTCGTTTAGTAGTGGAAAGAAAAGAAGGGAGATACGGCTCGATATCTTCCCATCTGTTATCAGTTTCTAATAACTCTTTATCCTCGTACTCTGTGTTGCTGTCGTTTTTCTGGTTGTTTTGCTGATTAGACATTAAATTCGTCCTGGTATCTTTGCTGACTTTTTCTTGTACTTTCTGGCTTTGTACCTTCTGCTCCAGTTGGTTGGCCGTAGAATATCTTTTCGATTTAGTGGCAGGTAGCTCACTTTCGACTGTATTTTTCGGTTCCTTGGGTCTGGTTGATATATTCTTTTTCCACGTCTCGTTCCCGTACACATTTTTCTTGTCGATTTCTTTTGAGTCTGCAATCAATGCATCCTTTTCTTGTTTGTAGATATTACGGTGTTTTTGCCTCCAGGAATCATTTCCATAAACTTGTTTGGGTTTTTTGTCATCGCTTTTCAGCTTATCGTTTAGTTTGTTATCTAAAGCCTGTCTCCAAGTATCAATGGCATTTGTTGTCGTACTTCTACTTTTATCATGAAGTTTTTTATATCTTTTTATAGAAGGATTGTTCACGCCGTCTTCGTTTCCTCGAAAATTGTGTTTTGTTTTGGAAAGATGACCATGTTTGAAATCTTTGGATTTGCTTTTGAGGGCCGTTTGGCTTTTTTCTTGAAAATTATTTTTTGCGTTTAATCCTCGATGTACTTCACTTTTATTATATCTTTCGTTGTTGTGGTATTGCTTAGAACGTGGCTCAGAATTAGCAAGTTTTACTTTTTGGCCCTCTCTTACTCTATGTTCTCTTAAACGTTGAACTGATTTTTCATTTTCTACGTCTTTCGTGAGGTCTTGCAATTCTCGGTTGTCTTGAGCGTGCAAAGGCTTTTGGTTGGCCCAGCTCTGGAGAGAAGGAGGGACCTTATTATCTATAGAAACCAGAATGTCTTTTTTCGTTCTAGACGTTTCAATGTATTTTTGTGGCGAGAAAAAAAATTGTGGCGGCGTGTATGGCCCTGTTTGTGAATTAGTGTACGAACTTATTCTAGATCCTCCCCCATTTCTAATGAAACTTTGTGCTCTTCCAAATGAATTAGTGCTGTATTCTTCGTCGTTTAAGACGGTTGGAACAGTTTCCTTTAGCTCCATACCTTTGCTGTTGGACCAGTGGGGCGTGACGGACGGCAATTCTTCTTTTCGACGCAATTGGAACTTAGGGGTGATGTAAGGATTTGAATCTGATCTCAGCGGCGAGAACTGTCCCTTCCTGGTTCTCTTATTTTCCCGGGATAATGTACTGTCGGTACTGTAATTCTTTTTGTTCACATCATAGCTAGATATACACTTGCAATCGGTAGAATAGGAAGGTTCGTCTGGTTCGCTATTTGAAAGTTTGGAGTTTACGTAATTATTATGATGCAAAGGATTTGGAACTTCCATGTTGTCCAATACCTGAAATACAAAAAAGAACAATTATTAACCATAATTTAAGTTTTTTGCGGAGATATGGAAACAATGTACAAATTTTAGTCATTATAACAAAAATTTCACAGTATTATTTGCAAAATAAGATTGATAACAATGACAATTAATTAAGGTTTTTAGTTGAAATGAAAAAAAGTTAATGGCACGAGAGGGATTCGAACCCACGACCTTCTGCTAAATACGCCGCTGCTCTACCACCTGAGCTATCGTGACCTCGATCCACTCGGACATCAACTCCCCATCTCAACCCCACCTTATGAGTTTTCCCTCCTTTTGCCATTTTAAAATTACGAGTAACATCCATACAGTGATATACAATATAGCATTATATTATTTATTTTCTTAATGATTTATCTCTATATGATAATTTTGCTCTCATAAATAAAGTATTTCATAAGCGCATATAGAAATTTCAGGCGCACAAGATAATAAAATTAGTTTTTTCACAAAAGTCAAAAAATCTGATAAATCTTTTGAATGAGATTTGATTTATATAGGGGACTTATACAAAAAATGATGGGAAAGAATATTAACGATGTTTTATTTAATGGCAAATCACATCGAAATAGTATAGACGGAATTCGATAGAGATTTCTATGTAACACATGATTATGAAGCATCATGAGTTCAAAATTCAGACAGTTTGAGTTTTACTTGTACAAAAAAGGGAAGCTAACCTGAAGCGCTGTAGTGTGTCAATTTCAAAAAAGAAAATAGTCGTTGTCAGTTTATAAACGATTCAATTGGGGTGTTATTGTTTATTCTGGAGAAGAAAAGAAGATGTAATATTAATTTTACCTTATTGTACATTTTCAAAAGTGAACGTCTGGCCATGGTGGAATGTAAGTTCTATAGGACTATGGAGGATTTTGCTTATTGCCAAATGAAAGAAATATCTGTTTTAACTGGTGTCTCGTGGACTCTTGTAACGTGAATTTCAGTTATTTTTCAGTGATTTTGAACATATGAGAAAATGTTATTTTTAGCAATCTTAGTTTATGTTAATCGACATGTCCTGTGGATTTTAAGTAAACGAAAATAAATAAATTGGCAAATCTGGGTGAGTTGTCTCTATTTATGTTGTTTTTTCAAAGTATTACTGTTTCAGTGTTATGAGCAAGATTTGTCTCCTAACCATGTATTCTTGCAAAACGAAGAAACTAGAGAAACTGATCAATCGCTGATCTTGAAATTAAAATAACTGTTCATTACTTAGTAAAAAATGGGGGATTTTGGTAGCTGAACTAATCAAAAGAAAAGCTTTTTAAATTTTTAATATTAAAAGGTTATTGAGATTCTTACACAATTTATTTTAAATTGAAAATGTTTATTTCTTTCGTGGTTCATTTAATACTCATTTATAAAATGTTTTTTGGTGTGATTTTGTCCATTTGTTTTGTAATTATGTTCTATCCCTATTGTAGTCTGGATTAGCTATTTTCAAAGGTTAGTGTAATTCATTTTTCTACCATTTTTGCAGTGTTTGTGTTGGCATATTGGTATTAAGGGTTGTCTATGGTTTTCTGTGTTTGCCGGATTGGAATTTTTATCAGGTTTTCGAAATGTTTAGTACAATGTAGTAATTTGTACAATTTCCACTGTGTATGTTATAATACTCACAAATCAGTACGAATGAATAATGCTTTATTCCAGTTTTATTGTAAATTTGTGAAGTACATATATTTGCGTAATTTAAAAATATATAGTTTACTAAAATAAGGCCGGTTAATTCTTTACATATATAAAATACAAAATATTACTTCATAAGATTAACGCTAAGGTTAAAGGGAGTGGCCTCTTGACCACCTTACTGTTCCAAATATTTATCTATTGTGCAATTTCCATTATTATCTAAAACTCTTAAGTTAAAATTAAGGGATTTTATCAGATCCCAAAGGTTTGTTAAGAACTCCCGTGAAGGATTTTAGACCTTGGCTTTTCTCTTCCTTGCTTAGGCCTTTGCTCCAACTGAGGACATCTTCCCCTGTCCTTTCTTCTATTTGGTAGTATCTGCACAGGCTTGTTTCTGCAGTTGAGTCTATATGTAAGCCTTCGGAGTCTGTAGTGTATAATCAGCTGTCCTACTATCATTATAATTTAATTCATTCTAGGCTAAGTAGTTCTGCCGTTAGTTAGACAACCCTTTCATAACGAACTAGTATGGGTTTACGCCTAGAAAAAAAATAGCTTCTGTTTCGATGCTATTTGGCCTAATTCTCCTTTATTGACGCATTTGAAACATTTGTCTACAGGTAGTGTTAGTTCTTTAGATATAACAATTCGGTAAGAGGCTCAAACCCTCTTTAATTAATCTGTAATTTAATAATCTGTAATTTGCAACCAATGCAAAGTCTATTACTAATCGCTTGTAAAGTTCTTTTAGTGTAGGCTCTAGCACGGAGCTATGGAGAACATTTATTGCATACGATTATCAGCGTCGGTCAGAGCAGTGGTTAAACATCGACGAAAGACCAGGACAAATGCCAAAACCAAATTTACACCCAACAAAATTGGTGGTGACCGTATGTGGTCAATGGCTGGAATTATTCACTACTCCTTTTTGCCTAGAGGTGACACTAACACCTCGACATCGTACTGCAAGGAAAATTGACGAATTGCATACAAAATGTCTAAAAAAAACAACCTGCATTGGTAAATCGGAAAGGTCCTATACTCTTCCACGATAACGCCAGGCCTCATGTTTCAAAACATGCCGTAAACAAATTGGAACAGCTTGACTACGAGTTATTCAGCATTCATTTTATTCTCCAGGCTTGTATCCAACAGATTTTCACCTGCTTAGGAATTTAGACAACTTCCTCAAAGGAAACATTTTGGAAAATGACGTTTAAGCCCAAAAAACGTATTCAGATTTTTTTTTTCATTTCAAAGCTCAGAATTCTTTAGTTCCGGCATAAAAAAATTGATCAAGCGTTGGGAAAATGTAGAAAATGAAGGTAAATACTTCGAATAAAATGGTTTGGTTTTCATATAGTAGTTTTACTAAAAAACCTTTATCTTGGAAATGGACATTTCATGTGAAACATCCCAATACAAAACGAATTAAATAAAAACAATAAAGAGAAAAGTAAATCCTTAAAAAAAAAAATAACTACACGAAGAAGATTGTTGTAATATAAGAATGTATTAAAGCCCAGGTCTTGATGTATGCATTGTGAAATAGCAATATGTTAATATGCCTGTTTTATTAATTGTTTAAAATAAATTAGTTAAAGGACAATTAGAGTAATGCATCTTTAAAATAAATGAGAAAAACTACACATAATTGCAATAACTCGTACCAGTATGTGCAATATTATAAAATAATTGATTAAAAAACAACAAAAACTTCTGCTAGATTACTTTATTCATCTCACTTAAATATTTCCGTTCTAAAGTGCAAATATGTATTGAAACATTCTATTACATTTGCGTTCAAATTTAAACAGAGGAGATTTGTAGTTTTATATTTTTACATTGTGTTCTTGCGACTAAGGACGGTTAAAAAACAGTCTACAGAAACCATTAAGGAAATTGGAAAAGAGAAAAAATCCATTTCTGTAAAAGGAACACAATGCTTTAATTTACATCCGATATCTCTCTACAAAGATTGTATAATATTTAATTGCGGACAGATTTTCTCCAATTTCGATTGAAATACTCTATTGCCAAAAAATATTTGTTTTATGATAGCCTCTGTGAATTTTTTCTTTTTTAATTATAAAGTTTAAGGCAAAATAATTAAGTAGTCGCCAGGCTTTCCGGAAATTTTCAGAAGTGCCTTTCCATTAGAGAAGCAACTTGAGCAAGTCCTTCACGCCAAAACATGCACCGGTACAACAATGATATCAACTTTCATATTAATCGTATCAAAAACACTTTATAAAATTACAACTTTAACGAGCAGGGCAACTCCCTTTCTTTATAATTAATATACGTTGAAATTTTTTTGACACGGTCTGGCACCCTGGAGGTAACTACCCACTACTTATTACCTAATCCTAAAATTCCATCGTTCGGATTCTTCCTTCAGGTAAGATGCGGTAATGAATTCCCAGAGACAAGACAGATGCAGCGCCGCACAAGGGTGCATTCCTGGTCCTATCTTATATACTGTTTATACTACAGACCTGCCGATGTCCAATACAGGCCAACATTACCCTTAGAACCTACATGGACGATACGGCAATTTTATCTTCTAACTTCAATCATTCCCAAGACATCTCAAGATTTCAGAATCATCTCAAGCTGACCAAACAATTGTGCAAAATGTAGAAAATAAATCAACATTAGATCAATAATGATACAGCTAAGAAATCAAAAGGAAACATGAACAGAACCGACTCTCTAGACAATAAAGGTGTTTATAGCATCATATGTCAAACAAGTACAATGGACAGACTGGAAGGAAATTCAAAGATCTGTTAAAAGAACATCTAAGATCCTACAGAGAAAACCACTTGAACGTTTTATATTATCAAGTATGTGTAGAGATTAGTGACCGTTAATCGATAGTAATTCAGATATCGTGAGTTGCGGTCGGGTGTGATGTAGGTTTCAGAAAAACATTTTCTTTATCGTGCCAACGTTTTGATCTTTTATTGAGATCATCTTCAGGGCTCAAAGTGTTTGTCTTCTGTGTAATTGTGCCATCCTTGCGTGTCGTGTATGCACGACAATCGACGGACCGAACTGTATACAAGGACCAACTCAGACATCGACTTCACTGAAGAAGGCGAAAATCCGATACGCATTTGAGTCAAATCAAAAACCCACGAGAGTACACTGACCGAGTTAGTGAACCTGTACCGATAAATTTTTTTATGCATGAATATTTAAACAGAAAATATAACTAGGAGACTAGACTTGTGCCAAGGAGGTAGTTAATGATCTTAAGTTTATTATATCTAATGCTAATTGAAATATAACCTTATTTAGTCAAATCATGTGATTTGACTTATGTAGTGTATTTTTAAAATTGAAAATTTGTACAATTATACGGATATAAACCATAGGGAATGTGATATTTTATCTATTACACTGAGCTCAGTAATACTTCTTTTACATCAGTGGCGTCCAATTTAACAAGCGATAATTTTTCTATTGAAAATTTCCAGTGTAAAAATGTCACATTTGTATTGTCAACAAGTTCTTCTATTATTTCTTCTCTGACCATGCCTGCACTGCCGATGGTCAACCATTTGTCTAATTCTCCATGGTAAATGGTCGTGTCTAGAGTCGGTTCAGTTAAAGGGGAATATCCAGGCTTAAATTCCACTTTTCCGATTCCGATCTTTTCAAAAAACTTGACTATTATACCGATAAGGTCGCTAAAATGAACATCCTCGTCGGCCAGCAGGATCTGCAAGTCGTGAAATTCGTGGAGTTTCATGTTGTCGTCTTTGATGTTTTTGAAAGCCTTCCCAACTGAGAAGAGTTTCGCCGGGTATGCTTTTATCTCTCTAACCATTGTCTTGAAAACGGATTCTTCTGTTTGTAAATAAGAGGATTTGTTCGTGAAAAACACTTCGTCTTTTAGAGACACAGTAAGTGTATTGTTTTCCTCGGAGTCTACGTACCGGCTGTGCGCCAAGGCCTCTTGAAATCCCAACTCGAGCAATGAGTCTCTCGTAGCTCTGAGGAAATTTAACACGTAGTTCATTTGACCCCCAGATGCCGGATCTCCCATTTTGTCAAAATCGTACGGGAGGAAGTAGTATTTCTTCCAATCCTCTGATTGAAGTATATTATCTGTTAATTCACTACTAACTTTCATTTTTGGATCAAAGTTTCGGCCTTTTCTGACGTTCACTCCATTGAAACTGAATTGAGATTCTTCGTCATTTTCGTCTTCCTGTTCTTCTACTAATAAAAAATCGTTAATTTTCTGTAATTGTCTGATGCAGTCCACCACGTTTTTGTGTTCGCATTGTAAATTATTTGCTAAAAATTGACTTGCGATTATTGAATCTTTATGGGCATTGCTTAAAACACGGATTATTCTGTTGCATAATTCCATTGCTTAATCTTAAATATTCTAAATGATTTAAATGCAAATAGTTTTTTAAAGCATATGTTTAAAAATATAATACAACTCATTCAACTATGAAAATGGTTATAACCTTAATACACCAGTTATAAATAAGCTCATTTTTGTCATTTATTCACGTACAAAATTTGTATAAAGTTAATTTGTTTTGAATATTTATTAAACAATAAAAGGTTTAATGTTTCAAAGCATCCTTTATTACATTTATTCTGTTATATAATTTTTGTACATTTTTATTTTTATTATGAATTTCCATTGCGTATATCCAATTTCTCGTAACATGCCTTGATTAGTGTTTCATTTATACACTTCAAAACGTTTGAAATGTTTCTGAAAAATCTATTTACACGAGGAACGGGAAATCATTCGGATCAATTTAGCATACAAATCATTCAGTAATTTCCACGTAATAAGGCTAAAAAGGCCAAATACAATTGAAAATTGCTTCTGTCAATTTATGATGTTCAAATAATTGGGAGGCATGTAATTAGAATTATTTGACAATTATATAAAGTTTAATGAAATGGGTATGGAAAGATGGAAAAGTCGTTTGTTCTCAACAAAATATAAAATAACCTATCACCAACGTGCAGTAAAAATCGTTATATCTACTCTTATTCACCAAATACATTTCTAGTCATAAAATCTCATTTTTTAATGACGAAAATCAAATCAAAATATATCTAAATTTGCTAACCATTGAAAGATTAGTAAACTTACTGTTGGAATGTTTACGCATAAAAATATTCAAGTTTAATTCTGGTCTGTCAAAGTATAATGATCGATTAACTAGTAAAATACTCTTTTCATAAAAAAGCCTGTATATGTGCTTTTTATCTACAAGCTGCATTGAATACAAAGTATTTCTTGTCAGCAGTACTTCATTCTGCACAATGAAAGGAGACGTACACATATATATCGCTGTTTTGGCGTCAAGAGTTTTTTTCGAGGTATGTATAAATCAGGAAAGATTAGGTGTGAGTACAACTCTTAATTATTCGTATTTATTTACTATTACGATTGCCTCCTCTTTGAAGAACCACTTATCTGATGAACGGAGTCTTCCCGCTTTTCTTAAGACCATGCTTTTTGATTGATTACGATGAACATGCAAGTTCCACTGATTACAGTATGACTCTAGCATGTTAATGTTAATTTGAAGGCCTACTGCATTGATTATTACAAGAAAGCAAGAATAAATAAATAAGGATAAAATTAACAAAAACTTCCAATACGTTTTATTATTTATCTTTCTTTTTTATTTACGTAGGCCAAGTTTGTGCCTGTACGTGATGTCTATAGGGTCCTAAACTTTTGTAAGGTTTCGCGTGGATCTGTGTAGTCGTTTCAAAGGTATTACCATTTTTATGATTTTTGAAAAATATCGACGGCATATGGAAGAAAGATTATTAGGGTACAGAAGGAACTTTAGTTCTGGCAAAAAATATTTTAATCTACTTCGCTACAACATCGCTCGGTCACAAAATAATTATGTATTGCAGTTCAACAGATAGCTCGAATCTGCTTGCCCCCAAATTATTCTTTTCGTCTGTAAACAAAAATTATTTTTTTATTCTACGTAAAAACAAAATCGACTGTTATATAAAATAGCCTTGAAACGACCTTCGGCGGGGTTCGAATCCCGCCCGTGACACTAACTTTTTGATTTCAACCAATACCTTACATAAAGATTAATTAATTGAAAGAAGTTATTTGGTCAATCGGAACACGAAATTGGGTTATATTTAAAACGGATTTCTTTGTTATTTCATTAAGGGTTAGTTGTTCGTGTTCATCAAAATAGTAAAAAAGCTGCATCGGTTATGGGGGGGGGGTTAACAAAAGAAATAGGGGGAAAATATCAATTTCTTCGCAAAAATAAACCACCGTCTTTGCCTCTTCTGGTAGACTTGTATGCTGACAGCCTAGCGTGTTTCTTGTGTGCACTGATGTTCATCGCCGAACGATATGGGCCTAAGTTGGAAGAATCGCGGAAAATGTGACCGACGGCGATAAGAGAGATTCTTCGCAAACGGGTAATTTTGGACCTTAGCCGCACCACGAGCCAAGATAAGGCCGATAACCTCCTGTATCGAGAGTGCGTCGTTAACACAAGATTGGGACTTTTGTGAGGACCTAACATAAAAGGCTTTCTAGCTCTCTCGCCTGTAAATTGAAATCCACCCGAGATTACACCCCCAAGCCGACTAACCCCTTTTCTTTACAAACTATAAACAGACTAAAACTTATATTGGTATTTAAAAGTTAAAATAAATGTATTTTATATTATATTTTGGCCATTTTTCTAAGTCAAGTCGTCAAGAAAGAGGTTTTGGCTAAAACCGTTTCTGTTTGATTTATTCCTCTAACAAAAGAGAAGAAAAAAATGACCTAAAAGAAATTTACGTATGCACTTCAATGTACTAGAATTTGAGAAATATTTATAAAATATTTGTAATATAATAATAAGAAATCTCAGAATAACAGGTGAAAAATAGACAAGAAATATATTTGAAAACCTTATTCGCTTTTCGATAAAACCTGCTATGATAGCGCTTTCAGAGTTGCTGAGTTAAGGACTAGACTGCCTGCAAGGTTTATTGGTAAAAACATTTTTCATAACACTTTTATAAATTCATAATCACTATTATAAATTATAATAACAATTATACTTTATTATTCTTTAAATAAATAATTTATTTTACGCCATTTTTTGAAGTATTATAAAAATTATGCAGTTTCATTACAATACAATATTAAATAGTAAGTAGTAGGTTTCAATCATTTCATTTTTAAGATAGTCTCAAAAGAGCTTTTATAACTTGGCGTAAAGTTTTTCTTTTAGAAGTTCCCAAAGAAAAAAAGTTAGATAGGGTGAGGCGGTGTCCGGGCTACGGGTCCCTTTCGACCGATCCGTCTATCTGAAAACAGTTCCTGTGTCGCCATTCTAAGATAACGCCAACTGAAAAGTGGTGCCTGCTGGTACCACATCCTTAATCTCAAGTTTAATGGGACATCGTCCAGTAAACTAAGACGTGGATCTCTTAAAAAAAAACTAACAAAAAAAAACAAGTTTAACTTCTATAATCCACACCATACATAATATAGCCTAATAATTATATTATTAATTATTAATTATATTAATAATTATATTATTATTTCTCTAGCCAAATCTGACATTCACTGAAAATAGCAATCGGTTCTACACGATACTTTTATTTTAATTGAATTATTTTGAATAATATAACGCAAATAAATATTTAAAATTTATTCGTCTCATTATTTATTATGTCTCCATTTTTTAATTCTTACATCTTTCCTTCTTTTTCGGTATTCCTTTCTCTCTCTCTCTCTATCTCGCCGTTCATTTCGCTCTCTCTCTTTCTCTGATCCTTTGCACATATATATCATTATTGTTTGTATCATAATATTAATGGTTATTTTTTGTCGGTTTCATTTCTTTTCAGAAATACAAAAATTTTTTTAACCCGAAATGTGTTCATAATTCGAACATCATAATATTGTATAGCTGACTAAAATTTTTAAAATTTCTATTCATCTTTCTTCGTTTTTAGTTGATTATTTCTCGTTTGGATTGATAAAGAATTCATGAACCTTTCTTCAAAGAAAAAGGTCGAAGCAGTTCATTGGATCACTTATTGGAAAGAACAGTTCCTCACTGAAGATGGTGCAATACCGAAACGCATTTGTACGTTCAACAAACCCTCAAGAGCAACGCCCATCGTCCGTTCATGATTTTTTATCAATCCAAATTTTTAAAAATTCATCACAGCCTACAAGACTCAATTGTGTAGCTGAACTGTATAAACAATGCGCTGTTTTGGTTTAATTTTTTTCTGTAAAAATGCAATATTTTATCTCTCGTTATCTTTTTCTCATATTATTAGTATCATAATATTGTATAACTGACTGACATTTTTAAATCATCAATGCTTTCACGACTCAGTTGTGCAGCCGACTGTATAAACAATGCTCTGACTGGTTTAAATTTTCCTATAAAGAAAGCTATTCATACATATTTAGTCTACTTTTATGGATAATAATTCTCTCTCTCTCTCTCTCTCTCTCTCTTTCTCTTTCTCTTTCTCTCTTTCCCTCCCTCTTTCTCTCTCTCTCTCCCTCTCTCTTAATGACTTTGACTCCATTGAAAATGAATAAATATTTTCTTCACTAAACTGATTATTCATATCAGCCAACTAGAAACTAACAAGCTTGAGTTGAACATAAATTTAATGTACATAGTCTGAATATAATTGTAATAGAAAGTTATCTATAAATCTCTATTATACAATTTATGTTTCACGTTTATAACATTATACGTTTTAAAAACTGGACATTTTATTATTATTTCAATTATAATATGAGTATGTTTGAACATAGTAGATTTTTAATTTTAAGACAAACCGGTTGGTTAAAAATTGTTTTAAATTTTAAAATAAATAAAATATTGTGTCAAAACAGCCATCAGTTTATATTGCAATTATAAAACAAATTGTCTTTAAAAAAAAGAAAGAATAAGATTAATATGAAGAGGACGCTTTTGTTATGATCTAGGTGGGAGAATGGTGTTTTAGTTATAACAAGGAGCCAGGACAAAAACTGACTTGGCCATTCAAGGCACGAATTACCAAGAGATAAAAACGGAGCTACCTCCAGTGCACAATTACCCCACCTAGTTAGCTATTATTTTCGGGGCTGGGGGCCCAAGAGACCACCAAAGGGTCGCAATACTTTTTAAAGAGTCCGCAAAATTCCTTTCGGAAGACGCTACGTCAAATATTAATAGGACGACGATTATGTATTAAAATTAGCTAATTTAAGTCGAACTAATTAAAAGCAGATGTGGTTAGTTAGAACCTATTAGTAATTATCGATACTAAACAATACTAAGCGATTTAATAAAGAAATCAGTCTCTCCCTCTTCATATTATGTTTATTTTTTCCTCGTC